TATCGTAATCAGATTTCATAAAGATACGAGAAATGGCTGGGCGTTGGGCCAAATGCCGTTTCAATATGGGGGCCATATTTAATTTCAGATGCAAATTCTGCGACTCTATGTCTTGAACACAACACCTATCAAGACATAAGGGAAATAGTTATAGTTATGGAAACAAAAAGCATCAATGCCCTCTTTGTTGTTATGGCAATAGGAAGCATCATTACCCTGTTTGTAGTTATGGCAATAGGAAGCATCAATGCCCTGTTTGTAGTTATTGCAATAGGAAGCATCAATGCCCTGTTTGTAGTTATGGCAATAGGAAGCATCAATGCCCTGTTTGTAGTTATGGCAATAGGAAGCATCAATGCCCTGTTTGTAGTTATGGCAATAGGATGCATCAATGCCCTGTTTGTAGTTATGGCAATAGGAAGCATCATTGCCCTGTTTGTAGTTATGGAAACGGCAATCACCAGTGCCCTGTTTGTAGTTATGGCAATAGGGAGCATCAATGCCCTGTTTGTATTTATGGTAATAGGAAGCATCATTGCCCTGGTTGTAGTTATGGCAATAGGAAGCATCTATGCCCTGTTTGAAGTAATAGAAACAGGAAGCATCATCGCGACGAGAACAAGTTTTACTACCTCCAGGCAATACATACTTCGAACACTAGTATCCGTAACTATGATTTTTTAACATATGAGGCATTTTTTAAATCCCCTTTCAGACACATGAGACACACGCAAACACGCGAAGCATGTTTGTTTAAGTGTTTATTTAATTTTTGTGATAGTTAAATTTCTTTCCTTACTCTAAACAAATACGTTTGAGATAAGGCGTATCATGTAAGTCCATAACATATCGTATTTGAAAGTGAATACTGTTTGATAAACGACTCACGATTCAACCTTTCATCAGATATACTGCTATGAGTCAGATGCGTGTGGTTAGATGCGTCTCGGGGTTAACTATGCCAAATTTAGGTAGGTTAGTGCATAATGGGAACATTTGTACCAAGAAAACTATTCCATTTGGTTCCTGGAAAGGGTTCACCGTGTCAACACCCACCATTTGAAACTGTAATGCATTTCTACGCGAGATGTAAATTTGCATGAAAGTGCCATGTCATGGAGAGAGAACTGGCGGCCTAAACATCATCTCAGTTCAGTTCATCATCAAAGGAGTAAAAGTTTGAAAACTTTAAAAAGTCTTGCCACCAATTCTGCCCATTTTAAGGTCCAGAGTACTCCTCAAACTTAACATGTGGCATACTTGACATATTTGAGGTCACTGATGAAGTTATTGTTGAAGTTGCAGTAACGTTGATGCAGGCGTTGTTGAATTTGCTACTGTTGTGGTGATGACAGCTGAAGACACAAGGATGGGTGAAGATGGTGACTGAGGGACAGGAACAGGCTGGTCAACAATAACCTTGGCTCCTTGCACCTTGATGGCTAATTCAGCCGATGTCAATATGGCTGCAAAGGTGGATCAGCTCACCAACTTGGTCGCTGAACAGCAGGACCCCACAACAGACCTCCGATGCAGAGATATAGACATCATCAACAAAAGCAACAACAGTTGCCACCTCCGAACTAGCCACCACCACCGATGCCAGCACATCCAATGAACATGCCTACAGTTCCAACGTCAACAATACTGACACCCTCAACAGCAGTATCCAAGTCGACCACGACTACCAGTACCACCCCGGCTCCAACAAAAGTGTCATGACGGTGGTGTGTATTGCTCGAATCGTTATGCATTCCCACACTACAACACAGTTTGTACTTATTGCAATAAGATAGGACACCATTTTAGCGTCTGTCTAAGTGCTTACTATTCACAGAACAAAGCACCTATGCAATAGGGACTCGCGCCTGATTCTCAGATTTCTGAGGTCAGGTATAAGAACCTTGTGGTATCACTTGTGGCTCCACTGGTCAAGAACACTGTTCTTGGCAGGATAGTCGGGATACACTAAGGAACAGTTATCTAAATCCCATCTTAGTCAAATAACAGGTGTAGGAGGTGAAATTCATTCAGTATAAGGCTCTCTTTCACTTTATATCAATATTGGCAATGTTCTCCTGTCCCAAACTTTTCATGTTCTTTCCCCTCTCCTTCACTCTCTCATCCTAGGCATCGACTTTTTAGAAGATAACAAAGTTACAGTCTGTCTGTCTTCTAAATGTCTTTACATTCATGAAGGTCTGATCACTGTTGCTTTCGTTGAATCTAATGCAGGTTTTGCTAGGTGTAAACATCAAGCTGCTATTCCCATCAAACAGCAGGTAGATCTTCCTGTTCTTATCTCTAGGAATAGACGAGGCGCTATCCTTCTGCTTGAGCCTGTAAGGAATTTGCAAAAGGCTGTGTATGTGAGACTTTTAAATCCAACACATAAAGATGTCCACTTAAACACTAAAAGAGTACTTGCAACCACTTCCGAAATTGACATTTCCTCTATATCAGTTCTCTCAGACATTCCTGACACTGACCCTAGGCCCTCTACCTCCAACTTGTCAAAACAGTTCAATGCATATCCAGGTCATTCATTCAACTCAACCTCAGCTCACTCATTCACTCAAAACTCAGGTTGTACATTCAACATGTCAAATCAGGTCAATGCATACTCAGGTCATTCACCCAACAGGCCCTCGAGTCATTCATTCAACCCACACTCAGTTTAGTCATTTAATCAAAACTCAAGTTGTTCATCCATCATATCACATCAGGTCAGTGCAACTTCATCTGATCACCCTAAAGGCATCACATCACTATCACATACTTCAAAGCTAGGTCTCAACCCCACGCTCAGGTTACTCACAACAACTTAGGATCATCTCATGCCTCGGTTCATCCATCACAAAACCAAAAGCCGCCATGCCCCTCTGATATATCTTTTGATTTAAGTGAATCTGATCTTTGCTCTGAACAAAAGCAAACTCTCTTATCCTTTTTAAATTTGCTGAAAACTGATCTGAGCTAGGTACAACCCACTTGCATCAACAAAAGATAGAAACAGGAGATGCCAGACCAGTAAGACTTCCCTTCTATCGCCAAAGTGCTGAAATCAGAAATGAATGCTCAAATCAATTAGAGGAAATGTTAGAAGCAAACATTATCTCCCCTAGTTCTTCTGAATGGCATTCACCTGTGGTTATGGTAAAGAAAAGAGACAACACCTATCGCTTTGCGGTCGACTACAGACGTCTGAATGCTGTTACAAAGCCCATTTTCTTCCCTCTCATTCGTTTTGAAGATGTCATAGATACTGTTGGTGAAAGTCAGGCCAAGTTCTTTAGTGTTCTGGATTGTGCTAGTGGGTTTTGGCAGATTCCCCTTCATTCTGACACAAAACATAAATCAGTGTTCATAACTCCTGATGGTGTATTTGAGTGGGATCGCCTCCCTTTTGGCCTGAAAAATGCTCCCTAGGCATTACCAAAGCACAATATCTGAAGCCTTAAAGAAATGAATGGAAAGTAAATTTTTATTTATGTGGATCATGCGGCAGTATTTTGAAATGTGTATTCGAAAAGATCAAACAAGCAGGACTTACTCTTAAAGCTAGTAAATGCAAGTTTGCTGTCAAAGAAGTACAGTATTTAGGTCTCATTTTTTACAAAGATCAAAATCCAAAACTGTAGCAGTCAATAAAATTCCCCAACCAAAGAATGTACATGCTGTTCGATACTTTTTAGGCTCAGCAAGTTACTACAGCAAATATTGTCCCAAACGTTTTCAGGAATTGCCTCACCACTGTATGATCTTCTAAAAAAGGACATGTACACCCCCTTCATTTGGTCTGACAAAGCTAAACAGGCATTCACAACACTTAAGCAAAAGCTAACATCATCTCCAGTTCCTGCTTATCCTGATTCCCCTCGACCATTCATTCTCACCACTGATTCATCAAATACTTCTATAGGGTACATCTTAGGTCAAAAAGGACTCTTAGGGATGTGAACATGTAATATGCTATGGAGATAGATCTTTACATCAGGTTGAAAGAATATGGGGTGTCGCACATTTAGAAGGCCGCCAGTTTTAGAAGGAATTAGACACTTTAGAGTATATTTGGCATCACAGAAATTTCAGCTGTACACAGATCACAAAGCTTTGACCTGGATCCATAAGTTCCAAGAAGATGCAGGACGTCTAGGTAGATGCTGCTTTTGCTTCAAGGCTAAGATTTTGAAGTTATACACTGCCCAGGAAAATCAAGGCAAATGCTGATGCTATATCTCGTACTTATATCTGAACCCAAAACTCTTCCAGTTACTGATGACAAACAATCCCATCCTCTGCCCTCTGTTCACACAAATGTTGCAGCTATCCAATGCGCTCCTTCCTTTATCTCCAAACCAAAACCATGCCAGTCTACCCAATCACAACATCCAAACAACTTCCTACTGATGTGCGCAAAAATAGGCTTTCCCCCTTTCCTGCAACATCGAACTCCATCACAAGCAACACAGCCCACACTGCATCCTTTGTGCCAATTGTTGACGATTCTGTCTCCCTAGCTGTTGATTTTGTGTATGTGAATGAACCACAAATTACCAGTCCATCAGTTTCTACAGTATCATCTAAGTTCGATTTTGAGCAACTAGATGTCAAACAATACAATTCCCCAGATCTTCAGCCTATAATTGAAATCCCAGAATCTTATAGTGAATCTCAGGTCAAAGGTCTTAGAGGTTGTGCCCAGGAATATGATGTCTGTGATGGTATCCTTTATCATTTTGGGGCAGTCGGGTAGCCTAGTGGTTAAAGCGTTCGATTCCCGGGTTCGATTCCCGACATGGGTACAATGTGTGAAGCCCATTTCTGGTGTCCCCAGCCGTGATATTGCTAGAATATTGCTAAAAGCGGCATTAAACATACTCACTCACTCACTCACTTTATCATTTTCATCAATCAAAGTTTAGAGGACAACATGCAGATAAGTCAGGAAATCAACAAAGAACATACAGATTTAAAAGCTAAGGTTCCTTCATTCTCAGTTGGTGACAACGTCCTGTTAACTGACCCTACAGTCTCAAAAGGTCTCTTGCCCAAATTGTCAAGCAAATCGGCAGGTCCTTTCACAATCATTGCTTTAGGTCCAAATCACACATTCAAACTTCAACATTAACACTCGGCCAAAGTCCACAAATCCCTTGTTCATGCTAACAGGTAGAAAACATACACCGAGAGAGCTGAAAATCCACCCAATGCCCAAGATCCTGACATAGGAATACATAACTTGGCAAGAGTGTTTGTTTGTTTGTTTGTTTGTTTAATACAAATAATTTCAATGATGGATTAGTCTTTCCGTGTGAAAATGTGATCGACATCCTCTACATAAACACGGAAGCACATGGCAAACCCCTTTATTCAGGATGGAACTATTCCGAGTAAAATCATCTGGATATATACAATTCCGGATTAAACAATTCTTCTTATGAAGTTGGGTGTATTTGGAGACAGACAGTCAGTTTTATTTCAGTGTTGGAAGCCCCGTTGTACAATCTTACACACATTGCCAATAGCGTGTGTTATAGAAGTTTAAAATATACATTAATCATGAATTCTGTATTAACTTCACATTAATTTGAAATTTTGAATTGAATCGCATTAAACAAGGGTATACCATGAATTGACATCATGCTACAAATAAAAAAATACTTAACACACAATGCATATCGCCCCACTTCCCCAAGCACGACATTGGTTGATGTGCGTTTACTAAGTAAAATGAATCTTTTGAAAAAAAATCCCTTTTGTTTTCAACACTTTCCCAAACAGTGTATCCCCAGATCTCACTGTCATAGCATGCGAGAAGAGCTATCTTAGTATAAAACATTGCAACAATTACATATAATAAAAGATTTGGATATTTCCTGATAAGATTATATCTTGGAAAACGTGTTTTCTTTGCCTGTACAGCTAACGTCTCACAAGCTTTGCACCACACTAAATGTGAAGAAAATATTAGACCAAGATATTTCTAAGAAGATACTATATTAATATTTTCATTGCCATAAAAATATATTTCTTTTCACTTTTAGCAGGCCATTTCTAAATACACGTATTTCAGAATGTTCTAAATTTACCTCACAATTCCACTGTTTGCAAAAATATTCTAATGCTGATAGCTTCTTTTGTAGATCAACATCTGAATCTGACACTAAAACAGCATTTTGATGATCTCAAAGATATCATTTACAAAGATGCCATTCGTTTCACTTACCATCATATCAGTAGCAAACTGGTTAATGAAAAATATGAAAAGTAGAGGACTAAGCAAACAGCTTTGTCTAACACCGCATGATGTTGAAAAGATATCTGTTTTCGAATTCCTTAAGCGGACACGAGCACAATCATTTCTGTACATTTTTTCTAAAACATTCTACATTCTACCATGAATATGTAATAACTCATATCTTATGAACCTTATCAAAGGCTTTACGGAAATTAATATAAGCTGCATAATAACTATATTTAGGCATACGTAAATATTTCTGAGCAAGTGATTGCAAGACAAAGACAATATCTATCGTAGAATGTTCCTTTCTAGGCCCAACTTGAGATTCAGCTATCAATTCATGTAATTCTTACCAATATCGCAATCACAGTTCAACTAAGGACGTAAATACTTTTCCCATGACATTGAGTAAAGATTTCCACCTATTTGGGTCCTTCCTGTTTCCTTTTTAAATAAAGATACTATTATTCCAACTTTCCAATCATTCGGTTATACACACTGATCCATAATAGAAATAAATAACATTCCCATGTAAGACAGTATTTCATAACAATTTTGAAAAAAATCAAGAGGCAAACCATCCGACTTTCAAAACACTACAGCTACTTTAATTTCTTCTGTAATTTTCCCTGATCATAATTCATGCACGTTGTTCAATCACATTTCAGGTTACCCAGTGACAAAAGTTTTGACATTACAGGCATCATTAGCATCCTAAGAGGGACCAGCGCCCGTTTCACAAAGCGGTCTTAGCGCTAAGACGATCGTAACTCCCATTCCTTAACACTGACTTACGACAGTCGTAGGCCGGTGAAGATTCCGGGGTAGAATTCCCCCGCCATATACCTGGAATATTGCTGAGTGCTGCGTTAAACAACAAACAAACAAACAAAACAAATACGACAGTCGTAGCGTTAAGATCTCTGTGGAATTGGGCGCTGGTGGTCAGGAAGGTCAAGCTGAAGTGACAAACAGTTGAGTCAAGATCATCAGTTCAAGGACGACTACGCTTTGCTCATAGATGTGAATGCCTTTGTATGTGCGTTTTCGTTGACGATCTGCCACTGTCCGATCCATGGACCAGTGATTCTTGTGTCAAACTCTTCCGTCTTTTTTACCTGAAACAAAAGGAATATACTTGTTGATTTCAGATGCGGATGCCAGATCCTCAGAAAACAAGAATGATCTTTTCATAGATAAAAGTGACAAAATCCTTTCCATATTCACATAAATAATGATAAAAGCAGCGTTGATTGTGCAATTCAGACTATATAATGAACATGATCATAAATTACAATCAAATAGTGATGATACCAGGTGTTCGAGAAAAGGTAGGCACCCGTCACAAACAGGGTCTAAAACAAGGGCTGGTCGGACAGTATACAGTGTCTGAGTGGGAGTATTCATGTTAAACTGGTATCTCTGTGGGTTAGTACTATAAAAGTGGCCCAGGTTCACACACGAAATTGAACTGTAGTTTGACACAAAATGAATTCTCAGGATGAACAGTATTTTAAAATAAATGTATTCCATATTTTGCACATCAATGTGTTTTACAGCTCGTTACTCCTTAAAGTGTCAAACGCACATGACGGCAGGAATGTTTCTTAAAGTTACCCTCAAATTGTCATACCACTAAAATATGTTAAGGGCCACATTGCTTTCATATCACTATGGGTAATCTATCGCCGAAGTGAGCATCGAAGCCTGGGGCGTGAGCCTGAGTGGAGACAGCAGGGTGCAGATCTGGGTGGGAGTAGCAAATATTCAGACGCGGCAGGACAGATTTATTACAGCAAAAAACTTCTTTTTTTTTAATAGAATATTTAACAATACAATTGATATATTATGTGTATAAGTTTTGTGAATCGTGGGAACAAAAATAATCCCTATCAAATATGGAGAGCATAGCATTTAAAAAGTAATCTAGAAAATAAAATAGAAACTAGAATGTTCTAAAATCCATCTATCTCCCCAGGAGAAATATATCTCAACAGCAGATATCATCTCATGTATACCAACCTCTTTGAAGTACTTCTTCTGCCAGACTTCTTTCCTGTCAACAGACAAAAATTTGTCCCAGTCTGGCTTCACGTTCGTTTCAGATGATGAACGGAACCTCACGCCATCTTGGATATTGTAGAAGCCCATATTATAGAATGGTGACTGCCACCGAAGATCGATACTCCATCTAATATCGTTTGACAGGTTCACACCGCTAAAACAGAGAGGACATATACTGAAATTCTAAGATAATTAATTAAATTAAGTGTCTCTTTGTACATTCAGAACGATTCAGATTGAATGTTTAGAAGGCTCAGTTCTGATGAGTGTCCTCGTCATCCTGGAAGCGTCTTCCTTTTTTGCCAGGAAATGGTCACTGGGGGCTAAGTCTGGGCTGTAGGGTGGGTGATTTAACTGTACAGACCAGACTTGGCCCCCAGTGACTATTTCCTGTCCCGGCAAATGAAATCTGCCCTACGTGGAAGACGCTTCCAGGATGACGAGGACATAAAGGCTGCCATAGAGGCGTGGTTAGAGGGCCTGATTTCTTTAAAAGTGGTATTAAAAGCTTGAAGGACAAGTGGAATAAGTGTTTTGAAGTGAATGGAGATCATAGTGAAAAATAAAAGTGCAAAATATATTCTTTGTCTCATATTGAAGTTGCAAAACATATTGAACGCCCCTCGTACATACACACACACACACACACACACACACACACACACACACACACACACACACACACACACACACACAGAGGCCTTATGTACAAATTATCTACATGCTGTTTAATATTTTTTAAATATTTTAAATGAACTTTTCAGGGCATTACCTTCTGTGTGGAGTAAGGTTGTGAAAGAGGATAAAACCGCCGTATGGCACTGGCTCAACATATACATCTTTCTTGAGGTCAACACCTATAACAAAGAACATTCTCAACTTACTTTCTAAAGTATGTGTGTTGTGTCACAGTGTAGTGCTTTTTATGCACGTGTCACATTGAACGTTCTGTCGTCATAATAGGGTGGGTGACATTATATGCTTCCATTGCTGAACTGACCGGTCAGCATACTGCAGAGAGGATGACGAATATCACTATTTTTAAAAAAACAAACAAACCATAAGATAGGCACAAAATGCATATGCATAAGCAGTGAAATCCATGAATATGTATGCGTGTTGCGAAACACGTTTCCATTTGTTGTACAATATTATAAAAATGTATTCATACTTTCGTGTTTAAGTGTATGATTGGGCTACTTAACCGTCGATATGAAGAGTAACGTGCATTCGTGAAGAAGAGGGGGCCCAGTTGTCTTAGATGCCGCGATTCGCTGTGCAGAGTTGCGTCCCTTGGACACACCAGTAACCTATGACTGTGGGTTCGAATCCCGGTTCGCCCCGATTATGTTTCTAGGTTTGTCAGCACCATACCCGTTCTCGTGGGTTTCACCGAAGAGGTAAACGTCTAAGACCTGCATCACTTCGGGCTTTCCTCCCACATTATGCAGACACGCCGTGATATTACTGTAATACTGTTAAAACCGGCGTTAAACCCAACTCACTCACTCACGTAAAGAAGACCAGGGTTACCAGATTCACATAAAATGGATGTTAAGAGGTTGATAATATTTGTAACAACTTTTTTTAAATATCAACAATGCTTAAATCTACTTTCTTTATTTTACCGCGTTGCCGTTATGTCTCAGTAAGTATAGTGTTAATTTATAAAAGGTGTGCGTGCTGATGTAATATACAAGGTTGTTGTGGCTGGGATCGAACACGCAAGCATGTTCTTTTTAGTGTGCACGACACATTTAGATTACGTCTTTAGAGTAACCTCCCCTTATAACATTGCTCATGACCGGAAGTAACGCGTATGTGTTTACGTCCGGAAATGGTGGGAGCTACTCAAGGGAAAACCAGAATTTAATGACAGGTTAATGAAAACACTTACATTAAGTGAGTGAGTGAGTATGGTTTTACGCCGCCTTTCGCAACACTTACATTAAGGCGTCGTTAGTTTAAAACTGATTTTAGTGATTTCACTTACAAATGATGCTTCGTGATTATTTGATTAACGGTAAGGACATTATACGTACCCAGTTCCTTCACCATGGTGTCCTCTTCAAGTGTTATGTACCACGTGTTGGCATGGCAACAGGTGTGACGAGCAACCCTTCCATCCGCATGGCCATATTTCACCATCTGTGAATGAATAAGAAAACGCGACAGTCGTTTACAGCTTGTGTCTTGTAAGATATGACGCCTCTGTTATCAGAAGTGTCGACAAAAGCTGTAGTTATCATTCCTATTAAGACTGTGACCTAGTGGTAGAGCATGGCCGGGCAGCGGAAGGTCGGGGTTCGCTCCCGTCCCGCGCTATCCCAATTCGTTACAACAAGGACTGGTCGTCTCGGAGTCAGTATACTGTGTCTGAGTGGGGTATTCATAATAACCTGCGGCATGGTATCTCAGTGGGCTAGCACTTTAAAATTGGCACATAGTACGGACTAGTACAAGTGGACACACACACACACACGTGCATGCACACGCACACGCACAAGAACTCGCACACACACACCTTCGTATATGCACGTCACTTTATAAGTTCAACAATCTTGAACGCGACGTTTAACCCCATTTCACCTCACCTATTAAGAATGTAATGATAATTGGAATGTTGCGTGCATGAACAAAAAGGAATCTTTAGGACTGAACATGTGAAAGTACAAACATGTTCAAGAATGAAATATAAACAACAACATTTTACCGACAAACTTACGATTCTTTGAACAATGTGTTGCGAAGAAAAAAGAAATAGTTCAGATCCCCTTAGTTCAGATCCCCTAAATTGCTTGTTTGAAGCAGCCATTGACAACATATTCTTTCTCAAACTCTGGAAATGTCAAACGCGATATACGCATTTCTAATTGGACAAGGGGCCGTCACATGGCCGCGAGACCCGTGAAGATCCAGGGTAGAATAGGTCTTAAGCAACCCATGTTTGCCGCAAAAAGCGACTATGCTTGTCGTAAGAGGCGACTAACTGGATCGGGTGGTCAGGCTCGCTGACGTGGTTGATGCAGGTCATCGTATCCCAATTGCATGGATCGATGCTCCTGACCTCCATCACTAGATTGTCTGGACTCGATTATTTGCATACCGCTGTCATATGGCTGGAATATTTCGGAGGGTGGCGTTGAACAACAAACAATAACAACAACAAAAAAACATGGCCGCGAAACTGACGTTTATAAGCGTACGACATATGTTGACGTTCATGCTGTTTTCAGGAGACTGTATTCCAGAAATAACCTAAAAACTGACGGAATACGTTCACATTCCTAAGGAAACCCCCAAGAGTTCCTATTCATAAATACATACAGATTCGTTGTTCGTGACCACATACAATATACAGTCCTGCATTGGAATCTAGTTCTAGACAAACCAGTGGGTGATATTATGAGCACGAGCCAAGCAGTCGGGGCACGGCGACCTACTATCAAGCAAGAAACCGAGCCTGACCACCCGATCCACTAAATAGCCTCTTCTCACAAGATTGCTAGGGACTATTTCTCCCCGTGTCTCCCCGTGTTACCATCTCGTCGCCTGCACAGCTAATGATAGTGTCCGGATTAATGCGGTGTCACTGTTCAAGCGTAACGAAATGAGACATGCGCATTTTCGTTTACGATAGTTTTGCTGTTTGGCTCCATGTATCATACTGACCGCCTCCGTGGTCTAGTGGTAGAGTTTCCGCCCGGAGAGCAGAAGGTCCGGGGTTCGATTCCCGGCCGCGTCATACCAAAAGACGTTAAAAGATGGTACTTGTTGTTACCCTGTCTGGCGCTCGACATTAAAGGGCTAAAACAAGGACTGGTCGGCTCGGAGTCAGTATACTGTGTCTGAGTGGGGTATTCGTGTTAAACTGTGGCATGGTATCTCAGTGCGCTAGCACTATAAATCGGCATCAATCCGGACCAGTACAAGCAACCCAACACACACACACACGTCGCTATGTAAGTGCAATAATCTTGGACGCGACGTTAAACCCCATTTCACCACACCTCGCCATGTATCATACATGTTCCTATCAGTGTGCTTGTTATTCGTACCGTAGTTTTAAATCGTATATTTGTGAATTTTAATTGATGGCTAAATTTACTACAATCACCAGCAGCTGAAGCGATGGTGTAAATCCTGCTAGGGGACCGTGTAGGTAGCAGAAGTATCGTAAGTCCCCACGGTCCCTAGTATGGTGGCCTAACTTTGGTTGCTGGTGATCTATAGCCCGTTTTTATAATGTATTGTCGAATCATAGATTATTCTTTTAAATGTTCGCAACTAGTTTTACTTCAAAACTGTGATAGTCTAGTTATTAATACTGTCCGTCGTTGACAGGTTTTTATTCATCTAAGTTTAAATTGTATTAATGTTCTCGTCACTCTATGGCTGAAATATTGCCGATGTGACGTAAAATTTTAACTCGCTCACTCACTCCTATCAGTGTACCTGCATGCATCCGTTTTCAGGGGTTGCATCCAGGAAGGGTATCCACGCTGTTGGGATGAGATGGTCATAGGACTCGTTGCTGAAGTAACCACTGTCTGGAATCGTTGGAATCGGTTTCATGAGTTAATAATGAATATCAGCAATACCTTAAACCAGGAATCAATAATTGGGAGAATTAACACTCACTTGCTTTGTACAGCAAATTATGAAATCATTTTATTCTGACGTCTTCTGTATATCAATCGGTTTTGGGCCGACCATTAGATATTCTGGGAGGGAGCTGGGAGTTTGGATCGAAATTAGATATATGTCACCTACAGCCGCAAAACCTCATATTTCTTTTTTTTACTTAAAACAAAGAGGCAATTCCATTTGTTTTCAACAGTCTGAAGCATTAATATATTTAACAAGAAGTTTTGGGGACAATATCTATAAAGTCCCATCAACCCACACCCCACACCCTCATCCAGAATATGAAATGGTCGTTCACTTCCCAATCCTTTATCCGCTTATTGATTCTTAGAAACTTACATGTTTATACTGAAATGAAGTTGGAATTGGCGTCAACCCAATGTCATCTAAACGCACACAACGTCCTTCCAAACTTACCTTGATGCCAAGGGATGGCGCCGATCTTGCTTTCGGGGGTTTTGGTCCTGAGGTTCCAAGTGGGATGTCCAGCAATGTCCGGCCCAATCAACTGTTCAATCAAGTTCAACATGCGCTCGTTGCTCCAAACGTCCATGAATGCCTTTGAGTAAAGAGGATGAATGCATGACAGGATGCAGTGCCAGACGGACAGTGTGTCTCCACACGCTACGTACCTCTGACCTAATGATCATAGGATGCAGTGCCATACGGACATTGTGTCTCTACACGCTACGTACCATTGTCCTAATGATCTCAGGATGCAGTGCCAGACGGACATCGTGTCTCTACACGCTACGTACCACTGTCCAAATGATCATAGGATGCAGTGCCATACAGACAGTGTGTCTCTACACGCTACGTACCACTACACTAATGATCATAGGATGCAGTGCCAGACGGACAGTGTGTCTCTACACGCTACGTACCACTGTCCTAATGATCATAGGATGCAGTGCCAGACGGACATTGTGTCTCTACACGCTACATACCACTGTCCAAATGATCATAGGATGCAGTGCCATACGGACAGTGTGTCTCTACACGCTACGTACCACTACACTAATGATCATAGGATGCAGTGCCAGACGGACAGTGTGTCCCTACACGCTACGTACCACTACACTAATGATCATAGGATGCAGTGCCATAGGGACATTTTGTCTCTACACGCTACGTACCACTGTCCTAATGATCATAGGATGCAGTGCCATACGGACATTGTGTCTCTACACGCTACGTACCACTGTCCTAATGATCTCAGGATGCAGTGTCAGACGGACACTGTGTCCCTACACGCTACGTACCACTGTCCTCATGATCATAGGATGCAGTGTCAGACGGACACTGTGTCCCTACACGCTACGTACCACTGTCCTAATGATCTCAGGATGCAGTCCCAGACGGACATCGTGTCTCTACACGCTACGTACCACTACACTAATGATCTCAGGATACAGTGCCAGACGGACATTGTGTCTCTACACGCTATGTACCACTGTCCTAATGACCTCAGGATGCAGTGTCAGACGGACACTGTGTCCCTACACGCTACGTACCACTGCCCTAATGATCAAAGGAAAGAGTGCCAGACGGACATTTTGACTCTACACGCTACGTACCACTGTCCTAATTATCATAGGAAAGAGTGTCAGACGGACACTGTGTCCCTACACGCTACGTATCACTGTCCTAATGATCTCAGGATGCAGTGACAGACGGACATCGTGTCTCTACACGCTACGTACCACTGTCCTAATGATCTCAGGATGCAGTGTCAGACGGACACTGTGTCCCTACACGCTACGTACCACTGTCCTAATGATCATAGGATGCAGTGCCAGACGAACATCGTGTCTCTACACGCTACGTACCACTGTCCTAATGATCATAGGATGCAGTGCCAGACGGACATCATGTCTCTACACGCTACGTACCACTGCCCTAATGAACATAGGGTACAGTGCCAGACGGACATCATGTCTCTACACGCTACGTTCCACTGTCCTAATGATCTCAGGATGCAGTGCCAGACGGACACTGTGTCTCTACACGCTACGTACCACCGTCCTAATGATCATAGGATGCAGTGCCAGACGGACATTGTGTCTCTACACGCTACGTACCACTGCCCTAATGATCACAGGATGCAGTGCCAGACGGACATTGTGTCTCTACACGCTACGTACCACTGTCCTAATGATCATAAGATGCAGTGCCAGACGGACAGTGTGTCCCTTCACACTACGTACCACTGTCCTAATAATCTCAGGATGCAGTGCCAGACAGACATTGTGTCTCTACACGCTACGTACCACTGTCCTAATGATCATAGGATGCAGTGCCAGACGGACATCGTGTCTCTACACGCTACGTACCACTGTCCTAATGATCATAGGATGCAGTGCCAGACGGACATCGTGTCTCTACACGCTACGTACCACTGTCCTAATGATCATAGGATGCAGTGTCAGACGGACATCGTGTCTCTACACGCTACGTACCACTGTCCTAATGATCTCAGGATGCAGTGTCAGACGGACAGTGTGTCCCTACACGCTACGTACCACTGCCCTAATGATCATATGATACAGTGCCAGACGGACATTGTGTCCCTACACGCTACGTACCACTGTCCTAATGATCATAGGATGCAGTGCCAGACGGACATCGTGTCTCTACACGCTACGTACCACTGTCCTAATGATCATAGGATGCAGTGTCAGACGGACATCGTGTCTCTACACGCTACGTACCACTGTCCTAATGATCTCAGGATGCAGTGTCAGACGGACAGTGTGTCCCTACACGCTACGTACCACTGCCCTAATGATCATATGATACAGTGCCAGACGGACAGTGTGTCCCTACACGCTACGTACCACTGTCCTAATGATCATAGGATGCAGTGCCAGACGAACATCGTGTCTCTACACGCTACGTTCCACTGTCCTAATGATCATAGGGTACAGTGCCAGACAGACATCATGTCTCTACACGCTACGTACCACTGTCCTAATGATCATAGGATGCAGTGCCAGACGGACAGTTTGTCTCTACACGCTACGTACCACTGTCCTAATGATCTCAGGATGCAGAGCCAGACGGACATCGTGTCTCTACACGCTACGTACCACTGTCCTAATGATCATAGGATGCGGTGCCAGACGGACATTGTGTCTCTACACGCTACGTACCACTACCCTAATGATCTCAGGATGCAGTGTCAGACGGACAGTGTGTCCCTACACGCTACGTACCACTACCCTAATGATCATAGGATGCAGTGTCAGACGGACACTGTGTCCCTACACGCTACGTACCACTGCCCTAATGATCATAAGATGCAGTGCCAGACGGACAGTGTGTCCCTTCACACTACGTACCACTGTCCTAATGATCTCAGGATGCAGTGCCAGACGGACATTGTGTCTCTACACGCTACGTACCAGTGTCCTAATGATCTCAGGATGCACTGCCAGACGGACATCGTGTCTCTACACGCTACGTACCAGTGTCCTAATGATCTCAGGATGCAGTGCCAGACGGACATTGTGTCTCTACACGCTACGTACCACTGTCCTAATGATCTCAGGATGCAGTGCCAGACGGACATTGTGTCCCTACACGCTACGTACCGCTGTCCTAATGATCATAGGGTACAGTGCCAGACGGACATCGTGTCTCTACACGCTACGTACCACTGCCCCAATGATCATAGGATGCAGTGCCAGACGGACAGTGTGTCCCTACACGCTACGTACCACTGTCCTAATGATCATAGGATGCAGTGCCAGACGGACATCGTGTCTCTACACGCTACGTACCACTGTCCTAATGATCATAGGATGCAGTGTCAGACGGACATCGTGTCTCTACACGCTACGTACCACTGTCCTAATGATCTCAGGATGCAGTGTCAGACGGACAGTGTGTCCCTACACGCTACGTACCACTGCCCTAATGATCATATGATACAGTGCCAGACGGACAGTGTGTCCCTACACGCTACGTACCACTGTCCTAATGATCATAGGATGCAGTGCCAGACGAACATCGTGTCTCTACACGCTACGTTCCACTGTCCTAATGATCATAGGGTACAGTGCCAGACAGACATCATGTCTCTACACGCTACGTACCACTGTCCTAATGATCATAGGATGCAGTGCCAGACGGACAGTTTGTCTCTACACGCTACGTACCACTGTCCTAATGATCTCAGGATGCAGAGCCAGACGGACATCGTGTCTCTACACGCTACGTACCACTGTCCTAATGATCATAGGATGCGGTGCCAGACGGACATTGTGTCTCTACACGCTACGTACCACTACCCTAATGATCTCAGGATGCAGTGTCAGACGGACAGTGTGTCCCTACACGCTACGTACCACTACCCTAATGATCATAGGATGCAGTGTCAGACGGACACTGTGTCCCTACACGCTACGTACCACTGCCCTAATGATCATAAGATGCAGTGCCAGACGGACAGTGTGTCCCTTCACACTACGTACCACTGTCCTAATGATCTCAGGATGCAGTGCCAGACGGACATTGTGTCTCTACACGCTACGTACCAGTGTCCTAATGATCTCAGGATGCACTGCCAGACGGACATCGTGTCTCTACACGCTACGTACCAGTGTCCTAATGATCTCAGGATGCAGTGCCAGACGGACATTGTGTCTCTACACGCTACGTACCACTGTCCTAATGATCTCAGGATGCAGTGCCAGACGGACATTGTGTCCCTACACGCTACGTACCGCTGTCCTAATGATCATAGGGTACAGTGCCAGACGGACATCGTGTCTCTACACGCTACGTACCACTGCCCCAATGATCATAGGATGCAGTGCCAGACGGACAGTGTGTCTCTACACGCTACGTACCACTGTCCTAATGATCATAGGATGCAGTGCCAGACGGACATTGTGTCTCTACACGCTACGTACCACTGTCCTAATGATCATAGGATGCAGTGCCAGACGGACAGTGTGTCTCTACACGCTACGTACCACTGTCCTAATGATCATAGGGTACAGTGCCAGACGGACATCGTGTCTCTACACGCTACGTACCACTGCCCTAATGATCATAGGATGCAGTGCCAGACGGACAGTGTGTCCCTACAAGCTACGTACCACTGTCCTAATGACCATAGGGTACAGTGCCAGACGGACAGTGTGTCTCTACACGCTACGTACCACTGTCCTAATGATCATAGGGTACAGTGCCAGACGGACATTGTCATGTCATAGAGTGTCACAGTTCGTAGGACTGTGACATCTGCCACACTGGTTCCAGAAAACATGAAACCACTAGTTTGCTTCGAATGCATTGTCACATTATCTGTGAAGCATTAGGATGGGAGGTTGGTGTCTAAAACTGACGCATCCTATGAAATTTCCGTCTGAAAATATACAACGTCAACGCCAGAGAACAACCAGTATCCACTATCCCACGGCACAGATCCCACCGGGCGTGAAAGGCAAAATAGCGGTGACAATTATATGAATGGACCACTAAAAAACCAGTGATGACACCAGGTGTTCACGAAAAGGGTAAGCATGTCTGCCTGTCCTCCCCTACCGGTAGCAACAACAACTCACACAATTTAAAGTATGTTTTTGATGCCTGTAATGTCATGGAGTAGCTAAATATTTTATAGGGCAGGATTAATAAAACATATTATTTCGGGCGTCTTCATTGAGAAAAGCACCGTCCGGAATAGCGAGTGAGTATGGTTTTACGCCACTGTTAGCTGTATTCCAGCAATATCACGGCGGGGGACATCAGAAAAGGGCTTCACACATTGTACCCATATTGGGAATCGAACTCGGTTCTTCGGCGTGACGAGCCAACGCTTTAACCACTCGGCTACCCGACTGCCCCCCGTCCTGAATAACAGGAAGACTACATGTTTCACTGTACCTGTGGTAGTTTCTGGTGTTTAAAGAGTAGAATGTTGGAACCAGGGAACTCTTGTTCCAGCTTTGTAAGTCTCTGAAATACGCCATAGTCTTCATATAGGCCTGAAACAAGAACATACCATGTACCGGGAAGTTCTATTACACTAAATCAGACACAGTCGTTCAACAAGCAGTTTTCGTTTTGAATCATCTGACAGCTTATTGGATGATTTTGTGTAAGATTAATGTTTTTGTAAATGTACATCCATCAAGTAATTAAAGCCATGTTTTTCTATATTAAGTGATGATGTTTTTAATATCATGATGTGGGGTAGCCTGTCGGGTAGCCTAGTGGTTAAAGCGTTCGCTCGTCACGCCGAAGACCCGGGTTCGATTCCCGACATAGGTACAATGTGTGAAGCCCATTTCTGATGTCCCCCGCCGTGATATTGCTGTAATATTGCTAAAAGCGGCGTAAAACCATACTCACTCACTTTAATATCATGAATGCTGGACATGCGGAATGTGACTACAAATGTTTTCAAGACAAGTGACATTAAATTTTGGGGCGGAACTGGGGTTGATGTGTTGGTAATGTCCGTTGAATGTTTAGTTGCTATGAAGGTCAATGGGAAAACATTTGGTTGTGTGTAACCTGGAGAGTGGTGTGCTGGTGATAACATTTATCCCTTAATAGATACTAACTTCTACCCAACCGAGTTGGCACAATAATTTATTCGGCCGATGCTTACTTATCTTGCCGATGGAGTTATGCACCCTGTCTTACGAGGTAGAGAGTATCTGTTTGGTCTTGTTTTAATGGTGACATGATTCTTGATGTAGCCAAAAGGTCATGACGTCAAACAAGCCATCTTCTATCACCTACACGAACTCCTGGATGTTTTCCCGTAGAAGCGGACATGAAGACATCCTTTCTATCCAAAATATCTTTTGTGGGCTTTCTTTTGGGTGTCTCAGTTTTTGCAATGTTGAATTTCTCGTAAACTCTGTCGTGACCAATATTTGTTGCTTGCTATATGTCACTTGATTTTGACTTAAGCCTCATACACCAATGGCGTCGGCGTTTGAGAGAAGTGAAGAGGACAACAACGCAATATTTCGTGTGAAGACACAAGTTTGCAAAATTCTGCTTGAAGTCGCATTTGTTTCATGTTTACGGAATCTTGTAACAATCCGGGCTAGAATTATATATAGGTCTTTAGCAATATATGCTTCCCGTAAAAGGCGACTGTGCTTGTCGTAAGAGGCGACACACGGTGGTCAGGCTCGCTGACTTGGTTGATGCATGTCCCAATTGCGTGGATCGATGCTCATGATATAATTTATAAATCACTGGATTGCCCAGACTCGATTACTTACAGACCGCCTTCAAGTTGCTGGAGTATGGCGTTAAACGAGAAACAAACAAAACATACCACTTGGATTTAATTCCGAGGTAACTATGTGTCTTCTCCAAACTTTATTCGCGTTGTACACGCATACACATGGAACGAACAGGAATAATATTGAAAAATATCCTCTTTTCCAACAGATTAATGTTGAATAAAGGCATACACAAATTACTGATCGCGGCCATAAATAAGGATAGAGGATACCTAGCCAGATGTCGAAATTTGCAAGAGTTGTCGTCTTAGTCCTTCCATTTACCATAGTGCATACCTATCACAAGCAATGTCCAATGTTGTTTCTATTTGAGATATTGCCATGGCAAAGCCACTCCATGCCAAGGCGAAGATAGTAATTGTCTTTTTCCACCACCGTTAAAGCCTCGGGGCAGCGGTGTTGTGTTAGCTATTCCAGGAACCAGATTAAAACGTATAAGTAGAGCTAGGTCATAGCAACTCTATTAACATAGACAGCTGGGCCTTTTTCCACGACCACATTTGAATTTAAGACACGTCAATATACCTGCTTCTGCTACTAAAAGATCACAGGGACTAGGATAGCTGTTCCACGTCTAACGGGACCTTCTTTTTTTGGAGTTCCTTTGCCTTTACAAATACATAACACCGTGTCTTTCGTATATTCTTTTCTGAGGACACATTCGAAAATATGACCATTTTAATCATTGCTACTCTGTGTGATATAAAGTCAGAGTTACCTGCCTCAGTTGTGCAAGAAGATGGCGGTTGTTGGTCCTCTTCCAGCTTCGCTTTAATTATTTATCTCTGACCTGCATTATTTCCTTCCCCAATTAAACTGATCACGACAAGCTGTTAAAAACTATGCGCTGAGCCTGACTCTGAAAAAAAAGAAGCTGGTGGGAGGTGTTAACTTACTTCGTATTTTCCCGGCCTGGTACAGTTTCTGGGCAAGAGCGTCGACCATCTTCTCCACAGCATCCCGACATGGCTGCAGCTCTTCTGGAGTGAAGAAGTCCCTGACGACGATATAGCCCTGTCATAATATAGCACATTTCAACTGTTAGTTCAGTCTGGACACGAAATCAAATAGATGTAAATTTTGTTGAAAAGACAAGGTGTGATATGGTCAATTTTTGGACAATATGATCTGCATAATTTAAACAGTAGCAACACATTAAAAAAATATGAAGGAGGTTACATGAGAAGTAGACTTTTCATTACAGCACTCACATGTTTTGGACTTTCAACAACGTTACACGAATGACAGCCTAGAAAAGGCTGATTTTAGGTTTTCAGGAAGCATCTATTTAATAATCAATCATTTGACCCAAAATGACGTTCTTAAGAGATGTAGATAACTACAGGCCAAACAAATGGTCAACTATTCATACTGACAATGAACTTCATAGCTAGTTATAGTGTTTCTTGAACATCATTTTTTGCTCATGTTTGACTCATGTACTAATATTACATCACATTGGGAAGCATGAATACACTGACGTACATGTATACAGATAGAAATAAAAAAAACAGCAATTTGGAATGAATATAATCGACAAAAACATTGAAATACAGTGTGCATTATTCATTTTACTGTATGTACCGCCATAACTATTTGTTTGATGTACTTAATGGACAGTGTTTTCATTGCCTTGTTAGAACAAATTAGTAAAATACAAACTTCATCCAAACGTCCCAATGGTATAATGTGATTTACAATTTTAAAAGTTGAGTAAATGAATAAAAACCGTTTTGTCCTCTTTGTATGCCCACGTCTATAAAAAAAAACGTACAATGTCCTCATGTTGGCCTACAGCTGTGAACTTATCAGTATTCTAACATGGTCTTACGCCTTTGATATGCCGAAATATTTCTTCAACCCTACCTTTTTGAAATATCGATCTGTGTCGAACTTGTACTTTAAATATCCTCCTTTGTGTCATTCGTCTTTTACTCGTCGAGGTCCTTCCCCTTAAATACTGAGCTAGTCCCCATAATGTTCTCATTGGGGTCATACTTCCTTAAAATGCCGACGTAAGACCTCATGTCGACCTACAATTTTGATATGCCGAACTGTTTCCAATATGGTCAGACGTCTTGAACTGCCGAACTATGAGGCCAAAGTGGGCCTACAGTTTTGGTGTGCCGAACTATTTGTAATCTGGTCTTTTCAGTGATACATTCAACAAATTATCAACTTTTTTTCCCCCTTTTCGCCAAATGGAGTTTGTTGGGTAGATAATCGAAACTGACTTAGCCTTGACGTTTTAGGTTCACCTTTCTGAAATGTCTAAATACGACCACCTAGTTTTTTAACTGCTGGAGTGTTTCCTCATGTTATGCCAAAACATGTCCTAAAGTAGACCTACCTTTTTGAGTTACCGAACTGTGTCCAAGTGGTGTACCAAAACATGTCCTGAAGTAGGTCTACCTCTTTGAGTTACCGAACTGTGTCCACGTGTCACACCAAAACATGTCCTCATGAGGACCTACCTCAATGAATTACCGAACTGTGTCCACGTGTGACACCAAAACATGTCCTCAAGTAGACCTACCTCCTTGAATTACCGAACTGTGTCATCATGTTACACCAAAACATGTCCTCAAGTAGGTCTACCTCTTTGAGTTACCGAACTGTGTCCACGTGTCACACCAAAACATGTCCTCATGAGGACCTACCTCAATGAATTACCGAACTGTGTCCACGTGTGACACCAAAACATGTCCTCAAGTAGACCTACCTCCTTGAATTACCGAACTGTGTCATCATGTTACACCAAAACATGTCCTCAAGTAGGTCTACCTCTTTGAGTTACCGAACTGTGTCCACGTGTCACACCAAAACATGTCCTCATGAGGACCTACCTCAAAGAATTACCGAACTGTGTCCACGTGTGACACCAAAACATCTCCTCATGAGGACCTACCTCTTTAAAGGTCCGATCTGCGTTCACGTGTTATACGAATACATGTCCTCAAGTAGTCCTACCTCTTTGAAATACTTGACTATGTCCTCATAGGGGAGTTGACCCGGCTTCCGCTCCTTGACTGGCGGGGGCGGGGTGTTGAAAGGCTCGGGGTAACATTTATCTGGAAGCCCGGGGGTAAGGAGTGTCCCGGTTGCCATTTCTACAAGCGCGTGTCTCTTTGCGAGAGAATAAGTGAACTGATTTGTAGAGATCAGATTGAGATAACCCAGGGTCATAGCCTTGTAAGGTCATGGCCATTGCGATTCTGTAGTTGCATGGTCATGAGTTAATACGTGGCGTTGCAAAATGTTATTGCCCAGGCCAAAACGAAAATAGTTTAAAGGTTCACCCACGGCTGTAAAACATTGAGTGAGACAGGATCAGGGCCTCCTTGAATATTCTTTCGGTTATATCGTGGCCAGGGAGACGTTTCCGGTCTGAGACTATACTTGGTACATGCATGTCATCCTGGAAGAGACTCCAGACTCTTATAGTTGGTTCATTACATCAAGTTTATTATATTATTATATAAAATATTATAGGGTCTGAATTGGGATTGTACGTCAGTCCGTTATATCAGACTTCGGTAAATATAAATGTTATTGGAGTGGAGTTTGAAACCTCCGTCAATTCGCTTTATCGGATTTCATTCATCGATAGTTCGTTATTCAAGTAAGTAGAAATTTATGAAAAACTTTAGGAGGATAGGAAGTTGTTTTGTTAGTTTTATCCGAAGTTCGTTATAAGTTTATGGTAACTCAAGAACCGTTATGGAGATTGGATGTGAGTTTGATTCGATTTCAGACTTCATTATATCCGTTGTTTACTGTATGATATGCACAGCTATTATTTGTTATAGTCAGCGAAGTAGACAGAACAGAATATTGAAAGATAATATTTATAATTTATTCACGTACATACAACAATGTCATGTAATTCAAATTTGCTTATACAATATCACAGAATTGCTGATTCAACACGAAACAATGATATAAATAAACTAAAAAACTGTATTCACAAATATAACAAACAAAACACCATATATAACAGTATGCTTAATTCAAATTTAATCATCGTGATATTAACAAACGTTTTTGATTTTATCCTCGTATTGTGCTGTGTCCCCCAATTTGCGCGAATACATAAAAAGTTTCACCATTAATTACAGCTGGCGCAGTAATTGATGACATTCAGGGAACGCTTCGTCAGTTTGGCTTATCTTATATCAAACCACGTGCAATCATCTACTGCAGCCGACTTGTGTTGGCGATGGGTACCGGTAGAAAGATATGGTCATGCCAGGTAACATAAACGGCAACTTATGATGTGAGATTCATCCTCACTGATCCAGGTTGCAATGTCTTGTGTATTTCCTCGGTGCTGTGAGAGTGAGTGAGTGAGTATGGTTTTACGCCGCTTTTAGCAATATTACAGCAATATCACGGCGGGGGACACCAGAAATGGGCTTCACACATTGTACCCATGTCGGGAATCGAACCCGGGTCTTCGGCGTGACGAGCGAACGCTTTAACCACTAGGCTACCCGACCGCCCCTCGGTGCTGTGAGAGAGTTCTGTGGCCTCATTCATTGTATTATCATCATTATTACTATTATCGTTATTGTTATCAATATTCATGTTGTCATTGTTCTACCCACACCCCTACCCTTAGAAAACCAGAATTTCCATATCGAAGGAGTATTTATATACAATGCCAGGCAAAAGAAAGTTTGGACATGAAAAGTGGATTTCGTCATGACAAAAAATATTACAAGGCTGAAAACAGTCGCCAAAAAACTGGAGACTTAGTGTCCAAAACACAGTTATGATACCCGTATCAAATACATCACCATCGGATAACAATTTCTTGTCTGTTTCATTTTTAGACACCATCAAATATAGGTGTATACTTTCTTTGCCCGGTAGTGTATCTGAAAATTCATTTCGAACATGTGCTTTGAGTTCACGGTACAGTCGATGTATATATTTCTGGAATTGTGCAGTTCTGACATTGAAAACGATTCCCAAGCCATATATACTCTCCGCCAAAAGAAACGCAAACCATAGAAACACAAAGAGAAGTATGTGCGTTAAGAAGAGATGTTTCCACTTAATGACAACACTAACAACCAGTCAAGTGGCACTGCAGAGTATCTTTATTCTTATCACGATATGCTGCACATGCTTTCCAAATTTTACACACCTATCCCGCACGAGACGAATGGTGCATCTCGAGTCATAGTTCAGTGACGTCACATGTGATGCATTTACGACCCTCGGTTCACACAACATAACAGCATGTTCGTTTGTGCATCAAACCGATCTAATATCTCTTAAATATGAGTAATTCTTCATTTATTAATCAGCAGGTATGTTTTTCGCGTTTCTTTTGGCGGTGAATATATATACTCTGGCAATCTCACGGTCGGTCTGCGTAATGAGAGATCGTGATGCGCCCCAATTCATCACGGCCAAACGGTAAAAATCAAATTCAGTCAAACACCGTTGTGTCGAAGTTGAAGGGACCTACGTCAATACTTCGAGTTATCCGAAGTTTGACACAACCGAAAATGATGATACGCAGGGATCAATCCGTTTATCCGAGACAAGCGTAAGTTCGACACATCAAAGTTCGACAGAACGGTGTTCGACTGTAGATCATTTATCAGTTGGATTATTCTATTCCGTCAACATACTTCCTTATCAAAGATCCACTGGGATAGTCCGCGTTAAATCGATAGCGCTGACAGGTACTGGAGCACACGTCCGGTTAAATTGAACTTGAGGGGAGATAACTCACATTTTCTTTTCTCTAATGCGTGGGGCAGACATGGAAAAGGACATGATATACATTGTGACTTAGAAGATAGCGTATCAAAGACAAATTGATTGTGTGGCATATTAATATTACAATCGGGTTCAGGTCGGATTTGGGATACTTATTGTCGGTACCCGTCAGAACCCTAGATAATACTGTGGGTGGTTTCAGAACGACGAATACGGCCCGAGGACATGGGATTTCTCCCGTCGTATACCCTGTATACTGAATGAGGGGCCGTGGGGTCGTGTGCAGGACGTAGGGGTGTATGACCCAGGGCCGGGGGTGTCTTCTGAAAAAAATAGAAGATTTTGTTGTTGGAATACAAAGATTATTTTGTTGTTGTTGTTGTTGTTCGGGGAAAGCCCGAAATGATGCAGGTCTCAGACGTTTACAACTTCGGTGAAACCCACGAGCACGGGTATGGTGCTGACAAACCTGGAAACATAATTGGAGCGAACCGGGATTCGAACCCAAAATCATAGATTTCTGGCGTGCCTAAGGGACGCAACTCTGCACAGCGAATCGCGGCGCCTTAGACGACTGGGCCACCCGTGCCCCCCTTCATACATTAATCCTGGCTTACGTAAACATATCAACAATGGCTCAATACGCGTCTTTAGTAAAGTGCAAGAAGTAGCGCTTAAAGATTAAGTTGTAAGACATCAAAAAGTGCCATTTATTCATGTTCATCCAACTTCTAAATGCCTATCAAAGACTTTAACCTTGACTAAATGCTTAACGCTTATCTTTCCATTTTTGTTCTCAATTACCATATGTTATGGAAATGATAATGTTAATGAAGAGGTCTAATTATGTTTTTTTACTTTTAGTTGCAAACTAACTATAACTTGTATTTTTCACAAATTCAGCGGCAGTTTTTTAAGGTTGTTATTTTACCTGCTGAAGACCACAAAATGGTACCCTCCCGTCTGAACTGGTGACTGTAGGCAGGGTGCCGTCTGAACAATGCCCTGTCTGAGTGATGAGTGTCATATTCTCCTGGTGATGGTTCCTTGGCGGCCCCTGAATTACAATAAACCAGACTCAGTTTTATTGAATTAATTATGGTAATCAAAACCGTATATACTTTAATAAATAGTTACAATAGGAATAATGAACAACAACAACAATGTTATCTTGCAGTGGCGATGGTTAACCAGTAGTGAAAGCGTTTGCTCGTTTGGGTTCTATTCCCGACATGGGTACAATGCGTGAAGACCATTTCGGGTGTCTCCCGCGTTGATATTGCTGGAATATTGCGTAAAATTATATTCATTCAAATCATGCGAATTTCTTCCTGTCATGTGTGCGGGTCAAAATTACTTCATAGAACGCAAATTAAATGCTGTTTTACACCGATTGTAGCAATAAGACTCGGGTTCCATTCCCGACATGGGTACAATGTGTGAAGCCCATTTCTGGTGTCCCCTGCCATGATATTGCTGGAATATTGCTAAAAGCGGCGTAAAAACATACTCACTCACTCACTATATCGTCATTAGCTTCATGTGCTAAAGCATTCACTATGTTTTTCATCTGATTGAACAAACTGTTCCATTTTGATATTTGTGTTTTGTGAAATTATTATTCAATAGTATTCAATAATTGATTGGATGAGCAGTACCTTGTTTCTCGATTGAGAAGTCGCCTTTCCTCCCCATTGAATATGACGGAGACTCCGGCATCGTCCTTTGCCGTGGTCCCAGGAGTGATCCTTTCTTGTACAGGTTAGGCGTCGGCCACTGAAACATGTATGTTAAGGTAAAACACAACGCTGAGGATTTGGTAGAAAATGTAAACCTGCGAGCGAGGGAAAAGCCCGAGCTGAAAGTTTTAAATTTTCAACCTTAACGTGTTTTACCCAACTTATGAACTGTCAAAATGCACGAAATACCAGAAGGAAAAGTAGTAAAACATCGAGATACCTTATAGTGAAGCAGAAGTGTGTCGCGGTATATCAGGAATTCTATCAAAGCGTGCGAGAGAAAAAGCATAGCAGCAGGGACCAACCGGAGTCATGACAAGTAAAATTGAACAACTTTTCGTCACCTGCCCCGGTGGCTCCGAGGGAAAACACGATATGTGATGTTCCAGGTTTGATTCATGTCATGGAATGTTCATGTAAAACAAATTGTGACTTTTAACCAAACAAAAATCAACATTATATTAATATCAAAAGGCCAGTTTGTAAAACCATTTCGGGTTTGGAAGGTGAGCTGGCTACTGATTTACTTCCTGTCTTATTTTGGCCGAGGTTGTCAGGAACCTGATGCAATATGGGGCAATACTGTGATAGGTTTATAAATAGACATTCTAAGCGTTGACTTCAGTATATTATTAAAGGGAACTGTGAAGATCCGGGTTAGAATATGTCTTCAACAACTCATATGCTTGTCTTAAGAGGCGACTAACGGGATGGGGGGAGGGGGGGGGGGGGGGGGGGGGGGGGGGGGGGGGGGGGGGTCAGGCAAACTTTGTCAATCGTGATCAACGCGTGTCTTTGACTGACATTTTACAGAAGCGACACCGAATTCCTAATAACAAGTCTCTGATAAGATAACAGGCACAATCACGCAGACCCTTGTTACGAGTCAACTAAAAACATTCAGCAACCATGATACTGTGACTTATAATCAGGATACGTTACTCAATTTCAGCCTTCACTTATCTCATTGTCGATCTGTTGTTTTTTCTTGAGTTTGCAAAGTGCTTTAACCTTCTTTAACCCATTAACCAACATCGTCACATTTCGTTCCTGCAGCAGTTTTTTCAACCCTGTTCGCCTTGACCTCAATCTGCTTTAAATTCCAGATTTATCCAGATTAGTTTGTCGGCACCAGAGCATGTAGGTGGTAAACCTCTATGACTTGCATAACGTTGTGTCGTCCTTTCAGACTAAGCTGACACGATATGATGTAACGAATACTTTTCAAAGTGGTGTGAAACACATTGTCATGGACGATACGAAGTGGTTAGTTAATCCAGACATCTTTTAATGCAGACATTCGTTAATCCATACACTCGCTAATCCGGACACCCGTTAATACAGCCAATCGCTAGGCTGGACATCTGTTATTCCAGACATACGCTAATCAAGACATTTTGTAATCCAGACACCGTTAAACCAGACACTCGTTCACCCAGACACCCCCTAATCCAGACATTTGTTAATCCGGATATTTGTAAATCCAGACATACGTTAATCAAGACATTTGGTAATCCAGACACCGTTAAACCAGACACTAGTTTACCTAGGCACCCTCTAATCCAGACATTTGTTAATTCCGACATTTGTTAATCCAGACACTTGTTAATCCAGACGACGGTACGGGCTATCGTTATAAATTTCTAACTCACCGTGCCGTCACTGACGAAGTCCACCTTGGTGTGCCAGACATGGGGTGTTTGAAACCACGTCTTGGCCCATGATGTTCTCGAACCTCCCTCTACAACGAAATGTGGGGATCTATTGATGTCAGATAAACTTTATTATCTAACTCTGGCTCCCACAAACGATATCTCCATAGCTTTCCTGATCACCTATTGGTCGACTGTCATAAGCGTAAACATGAAAGTTTAAACGTTCGCAGCTAACACAAGTGACAACATTTTACTTAAAAACATATTTTCATTCATTCAAACAATGCCACGAAATACAATTCAAAATACAGAACTGTTTGGTGAGTGAGGATGTGATTGACTCATAGTTAGTGAAAATACAGGGTAGAACAGGTCTTCAGCAACCCATGCTTGCCGTAAAAGGCGACTATGCTTGTCGTAAGAGGCGACTAACGGGATCGGGTGGTTAGGCTCACTGACTCGCGTGATGCATGTCATCGTATCCCAGTTGCGTGGGTTGTTGTTCATGGTGTAAATCACTTGATTGTCTGGTCCGGACTCGATGATTTACAGACCGCTGTCATGTGGCTGGAATAATGCTGAGTGCGGTGTTAAACAACAAACAAACAAACTCACCCTTGTGTCTTTCCATGTTTATCAGCATGCTGTTATCGATGAGTGTTGATTTATTTGATATCAAAAGAGGGTGAGATTCTAGTTCCCACTATTCCAGTTTGTAAACAGTAATAACCAGTGTAAAACGTACTACTAACAAACTTTAGTTACAGAGAGATTGGTGATGCCATTTGAATTTTAAAACTCATTGTAAGAATGACGTCTCAATGGTCCACTTTTACATGCCAAAAGATGAACTCGTATCGATATCTCCTGTGGAAGACAGTTTTGGACGATAATCGATTATCCACGTACCGAATATGATACAGCTGGAATATAGCTGACTCCGATGCTAAACATCATCAAAGAAAACAACAAACAGCCTGGCAAAAGAAATTATACCCTTGGAAATTGAGTACAAAACGTTACTAGGCTGAAAAAAATCGCCGAAACACAGCAAACATTAGGTCCATAACATAACTATGATCACATACATCACCAGCGAATACATTTGGTTTGTTTGTTTATGTTTAGCCACCATCAATCATGGGTGTATACTGTCTTTTTCCGACAGTTTATTTGAGGTAATATACGGCTTGCAAGCAATACAAGACCGCCTCCGTGGTCTAGTGGTGGAGCGTCCGCCCGGAGAGCGGAAGGTCCGGGGTTCGATTCCCCGACCGCGTCATACCAAAAGACGTTAAAAGATGGTACTTGTCTGGCGCTCGGCATTAAGGGGCTAAAAAACAAGGACTGGTCGGCTCGGAGTCAGTATACTGTGTCTGAGTTGTGTATTCATGTTAAACCGCGACATGTTATCTCATTTGGCTAGCACTATAAATCGGTATCAGTCCAGACTAGTACAAGCAGCCCAACACACACACACACACACACACACACACACACACACACACACACACACACACACACACACACGTCGCTATGTAAGTGCAATAATCTTGGACGCGACGTTAAACCCCATTTCACCTCACCGGCAAGCAATACATGATCAAACATTGCCATACCTCTCTCAGGGGAACACCGTGCTCCAAATGTCCAGGCAGGGGCATTGGTTTCGTACAGGGGCTTGTTCCGTGGGGAGTAGGTCCACGGCGAGGGCCCCTCCATGTCGAATCTCAGGGGGGGTCGCGCGTTATTGGCTTCCTCCCAAGTTATCATTTTCGTTGGACGTCGGGGTTCCTCGTAATATAGGCTTGGTGCTGCGCTGACCGTCTTGGCCCTGTATCGAAAACATGTTCTAATATATAACACGACATATCACATCTCACAACGTTACATTATCAGCGATTTTCACTAACTCTCAAGTCAGCCCCCACCTTATTGGCCAAGGTCTTGCCCTCAGTGTTAGATCAAGCGGTGGCAACATGACGCAATTGCTTCTGTGCCCGATTATACCTGTTTTAAACATTGTACAAGACTTTAAGTGGGACACAATTCAAATGCCCGAGCCCACTGTTCCGCAATCCGGGACTCGACTTAGAGCGATATCAGCGTTATTAATGACGGTGTTTACACAGCGAGTTTGTGAAGAGTGAAGAACAATTGTAAAGGTGTTTTTTTATAGATCTGCTGTTGAGGATTTATCAAGATGAAGAGATATACCATTTAATTTATCTTTGGACCATTGTAAAAAAATGCAACATGCAACATTTCTATTCATTTATCTCGAGTATCAAAAGTATCATTCATTTCTAAATATAGGATGAGGGGGAGGAGGGGTGTGTGTGTGTGTGTGTGTGTGTGTGTGTGTGTGTGTGTGTGGCGGGGGTAGTCTAGTAGTTAACCCTTTTCATCCATCTCCTCTTAAAATGTTGCTGGAATTGTGCACTCACTTTAATATACAGTAAACTACGGTTATAACGAACTCAAAGGGACCACTAACTTTAGTTTGTTATAACCGTAGTTCGTTATAATCATATATACAGCATAACTATAGCAAATAGTCGGGACCAAAAAATCAGTTCGTAATATCCGTCAGTTCGTTATAAGCGTGTTCGTTATAAACGTACTTTACTGTAACGGTAAATGGATGAATACAATTTGTGCACGTGTTAACCTCTTAAGGATACACATCATACATTTAAGGAACAACAGTCACATGAACTGGTCATTAACCCTAATTCTACCTTCGTTCTACGCAGGTCATGGTTTTTAACATTTGGTTGAAAATCAAGAAAAACAGCATGGTGCTAAAATAAATATCATGAATAGGTTTGAATCTGTCTTTGCACCGTAAAAAATCAGAGGGTCTTCATGAACACCTGTCACTGTTTGTCAGCGACCCATGCATACAATTTCAATCACTAGTTTCTTGTTTAAACCCAATGGGAGCTGTTTCGGCAGATAATCGAGACTGGTTGTTCTCTGGTGTTGCCGTTTTATATTTCAATATGCCAATGAGTTGTCCCGGCGCAGCACTGAAGGAAACGGCAAATCATACATGAAAGAAGAAAATAATATGTACTCATTGGAATCTTACTCACTTTGGCGCCATTGTAACGGTTGCCAGGCGTATGAATCGAGGTGGAACTCGACTCCGCAGCATCTGCTTGTGTTCGAATCCTCTCGGTGCGTTCGGAGCTTGTAGACTTTGAATGTGCGCATGCGCCGACCGTATCAATGGCAGACGACTCGGAGGTGCGGTTGACATGGTTGGGTAGCTTTCAGACGACGTGGGGGTCTTACGTCTACATGCTTTAGCATCGGCGGAATTCCTTTTGGCATTTCCCCTTTCATCAGATGCCCTTTGTACCGAGTCGCCAGCCAGTATTGCCGCAGAATCAACAGACATCTCTCTTACTGCATCAGTAAGATGCGTCTCGGTTATATTTTCTTCAGCGCCTCCTGAACGATTCGACGCAGAAACAACATCTAAACCATTTACTGTATGTTCAGAAGGGAGATTGTCCTTATGAACAGTGGTGATGTCGTCCACCGCTGGTACCACGACAGGAGACAGTCCCTTTGACTTCGAGTCACCAGACTCCAATGTGTCATTGCTGTCATTTGATTTGTCGTCTTCAACATCTGCTTTCTCTATAACCGGACCTTCATTGTGTCCTTGACCGGCAATTACTTGACCTTGACCTTGACCTTCAGTCACATTCCCACCCTCTTCCTCCAGTCTTCCTGGTAAATCTTCCTCTGGCATACTCCTGTCACCTTCTCCAAACACTCGCTCGCCAGACGGACCTGCACTGTCCTGTTGTTGTTTGTCAGAGGTATTCTCCGTCACGTGGCTTGCACATTGCACCGTGTTTCCTGTGGGATCATCCTGGGCCGTCCCTGCACCGTTCGGAGCTGCACCAGGAACAGCAGCTGCATCACCGGTGACGGCCTCCTCCGTGGTCATCGACATACTCCCGTCTCCTCAGACGACGCTTCACGGTGATGTCACGGGTAGTTTATCTGTTAACAAAACAATTGTGTGCTTAATAATAATATTATTTAAGTAATCTGTTCTAAAATCTTTGGTTCAGTAGAACTGAGTATAAAACGCTTGAACAAAGAAACTCGTGCCGTGTACACATTAAGTCAAGTGACCCGTAAAGATCCGGGCTGGAATAGGTCTTCAGCAACCCATGTCGCCGTAAAAGACGACTACGCTTGTCGTATGAGGCGACTAACGAGATCGGGTGGTCATGCTCGCTGACTTGGTTGATTCATATCATCGTATCCCAATTGCGTGGAATGATGCTCATAATGTCAATCACTGGATTGTCTGACTCAATTATTTACAGACCATCGTCATATAGCTGGAATATTGCTGAGTCAAAAGAATGGACTGCTTTGAAACGCGGAATTAAATACGAGTATATCAGTTCATTTGATAGATTGGGAATCAATTTGTATTAGTTTTATAGTATCTCACGAGGATTTCAAGGTGAGCAAATCTGCAATTCTTTAGTTCACTTGTAAGTCTTTGTTATCTTCCCATAGAAAATTGGTTGAGTTAGCCTAGTGGTTGAAACGTTCACTCATCACACCGACAGACCGGGTTCGATTCCCCACTTGGAAACAATGTCTGCAGCTCATTTATTGCTACAATAATGCTACGAGTGGCGTAAAACCATACTCACTCACTATTGTAGGAATGTCTCTATCTGTACATCAAAATATTTTCGAACAATATTTCTAGCGTGACACATAGCTCAGACGTTTACCACTTTGGGGAAACCCACGAGCACGGCTATGGTGCTCACAAGCCTAGAAACATAAAATCGGGGCGAACCGGGATTCGTACCCACAACGAATTGCCGCGCCTTTGACGACTGGGCCACTAGTGTTGCAGTTCTTCTTAGATATCTAGGGGGCCCAGTCGTATAAAGTGCCGCAGTTCACCTTATTTTCTGGGTTCGAATCCGGCAAAATACCCATGTTCGTAGAGTTCACTAAACTGGTAAACGAGTTCATATGCAATCGGGGATTCTTCCCAGGGGCGGGCTGGTAGCCTAGTGGTTAAAGCGTTCGAATCCCCACGTGGGTACAATGTGTGAAGCCCATTTCTGGTGTCCCCCGCCGTGATATTGCTGGAATATTGCTAAAAGCGGCGTAAAACCATATATACTCCCACAATAACCTCTTTTACTAAATGCCCTTATAAAACCTATTTCACTACACACCCCTAGAAACCACTTTGAAATAATCCCATGTTCAAAGACAACAGAACCAAACATGTAATCTTGAAATACATAAACGGTCACATGAACAAACAAATTTTAATCATGTCAGTACAACCAGTAAAATAACATTTTTATATCGACAGAACTTCTGATACCGATCCAAGAGCGAATATAATTGTCTTATACTCAGTGTTGATGTGAAGTTAAATTAGTTGGATGCTGTAATAATGTGGCAGAACGGGATTATATTAACTTCTTTTGGATCCGAGATTCGATTAAGACCGTGTCGTCTTATCCCTACTTATCAACAACAAGTTCTCAAAATGAAGAGTGTGTTATATTATTAAAAGTATCGTTTTACACTCAGAACATTAAGTCTGGAAGTCACATACTGTGTATTGCAGGAGGGCTATTGTACTGTGTAAAGTCGTTTGCTGGGCAGAATGTAGCTCGAAATTGAATGTTTACACACAGTTCTGCATTCTCTTTTGCAAGAAAAAACGACTTGTTTTTTTAACATTATTGAAAGTATGTGCATGTTGTGGATGTTGCTGTGCATGTTGCTGTGCACGTTGCTATGCATGCTGCTATGACGTTGCTGTGCATGTTGCTGTGCACGTTGCTAGTCATGCTGCTATGACGTTGCTGTGCATGTTGCTGTGCATGTTGCTGTGCATGTTGCTATGCACGTTGCTGTGCATGTTGCTTTGCATGTTGCTGTGCACGTTGCTGTGCATGTTGCTATGAATGTTTCTATGCACGTTGCTGTGCATGTTGCTATGAATGTTGCTGTGCATGTTGCTGTGCACGTTGCTGTGCACGTTGCTGTGCATGCTGCTGTGCACGTTGCTATGCATGTTGCTTTGCACGTTGCTGTGCATGTTGCTGTGCATGTTGCTATGCATGCTGCTGTGCACGTTGCTGTGCATGTTGCTGTGCACGTTGCTGTGCATGTTGCTGTGCATGTTGTTATGCATGTTGCTGTGCATGTTGCTGTGCTCATTGCTGTGCTCGTTGCTGTGCATGTTGCTATGCATGCTGCTGTGCACGTTGCTGTGCATATTGCTGTGCGCGTTGCTGTGCATGTTGCTGTGCACGTTGTGCGGATTGTTGTGCATGTCGCTGTGCATTTCGCTGTGCACGTTGTGCATGTTGCCATGCATGTTGCTGTTAATGTTGCTATGCATGTTGCTGTGCATGTTGCTGTGCATGTTACTGTGCATGGACTCCTCTTTACTGAGATGACCGAATACGCTTGAGGTGAGCCGAGTGATTATTTCAGCAATACACACGACTGTGCCGCCCCGTAATTCAGTCAGATATTATGTCGATCTTAATACCATGCCTTCTCATGCATGGTAACGTTATTCACGAAGACGCCACAACGCCAAGAGGTTTATATAGCATACACGCCAAAGACATGAACTTGACAGGGCTTTGTGTTGTGTTGTTCATGCAGGCGGAACACTGTATGCGTGCATGATAAACTCACTCTATTATTCAGTTTTATTGGCAGTGACACTGACGTTTATTCCAAGGAGGCTATAGCGGGTCCTTTCACGCAAACAACGCTTGGGGATTAAATTAAATCCTACACACATAACCTATAGGTTTATAAAACTGACAAAACGGTTGGACGCGATCTGGCAGGTGTTTTCCTTTTGGGCCATGGTGTCCTGAGCTGCTCAATTATTTACCCATTATATCTATCCGTGACGATCCGGGGTAGAATAGGTCTTCGGCAACCCATGCTTGCCGTAAAAGCGACTATGCTTGTCGTGAGAAGCGACTAACGGGATCGGGTGGTCAGGCTCGCTGACTTGGTTGATGCATGTAATCGATCCCAATTGCGTGGATCGATGTTCATGGCATTAATCACTGGATTGTTTTGTCCAGATTCGATTATTTACAGACCGCCGTCATATAGCTTAAATATTGCTGAGTGAGGCTTTAAACAACAAACAAACCAACAACTAACCTATTATATCTGTTGATTCAAGATACGTAATGCGTTTTGTGTGTGTATGTGTGTGTGTGTGAGTGAGAGAGTGTGTGTAAGAGTGTGTGAGTGAGAATGTGCGTGTGTGAGTGAGTGTGAGAATGTGCGTGTGTGAGAATGTGAGTGTGTGTGAGTGTAAGAGCGTGAGTGATGTGGGAGTGTGTGAGAGCGTTTGAGAATGTGAGTGTGTTTATGTGAGAGTGTAAGAATGTGAGTATGTGCGAGTGTTTGTGAATGTGTGTGTGTGTGTGTGTGTGTGTGTGTGTGTGTGTGTGTGAGAGAGAGTGAGTGTATGCGAGTGTGTGTGTGTGAGAGTGTGAGAATGTCAGTGTGTGGGGGTGTCAGTGTTTGTGTGTGTGTGTGTGTGTGTGTGTAGTGAATGTGTTAGTATGTGTGTGTGTGTGTGTGTGTATGTGTGTGTGAGCGTGTGTTTGACTGTGTTAGTATGTGTGTATTAGCACAACGTATATTATTATGTATATATATGTGTATCAATAGAGTCATCGAGCTTGACAATCAGAACCATTTAGTCGCCTCTTACAATAGACATACATGTTAGTTGCTGGAGACCAATTCAAATCCGTAGATTCCAACGATACGAGCGTTGTGTTTTAGTTCTTTTTAAACTTGGTAAATCTATTTCCAGTAGATTATGTATTACAATATACCCTCCAGGTTAGATGGCATGTACTGACAATGGCAAGGTCACCTTCTAGCAGAGTGGGGAGTGATTGAGTGAGTGAGAACGCCGCTTTTAACATTATTTCAGTTAAATCACGGCGTGTCAGCTTAATGTGGGAGGAAAGCCTGAAGTGATGCAGGTCTCAGACATTTACCACTTTGGTGAAACCCACAAACACAGGCTTGGTGCTGACAAACCGAGAAACATAGTCGGGTCGAATCGGGATTCGAATGATCATAGTTTCCTGGCGTGCCCAGGGGACGTAATTCTACACAGCGATACCGACGTCTTAGATGACGTGTCATATGTACCCCATCTGGCAGAAGGCATCAATGTTATGTAAATCTATTTAACAGATAATGATTACTCTAACAACATGTTTGACAATTGTCCCTAATGATAAAATTTAGACCATCACCGGGACTGGGCTACACGCCGTGCTGCGCAACCTCGTTTTAAGAAACTGGGTTTACTCTCTCTGCGACCGAATTGGCGGAACGAACACTGTTAAGTGACACCCACATTACCTGTTTGGCAATACCACTCCAAAGTACATATAAACACAGCCAGTCCCTGTTGATATAAGAAGCGAGACATCAACAATCGATACGGTCTGCTCGACACGGTAGAGTGTAATCTCCTCGGCCGTCTGGAGGGTGATTACACGCGTTCGAACACATATTGAGGCTATGCATTGATCTATCGATTACATTGATTAATCTGACGGGACATGTATGTCTTCATATATATATTGAATCAAGCTTATACCTGTGTATGATATTGCGGGCATTTATAACACGGGGAACCGGTTTGTCTTTGAGAGCAAAGAACTACCTCGTGTTTGTATATAAGAATTGTTAAAACTACGTACCTAGATAGATAGATAGATAGATAGATAGATAGATAGATAGATAGATAGATAGATAGATAGATAGATAGATAGATAGATAGATAGATAGATAGATAGATAGGTAAGTAAGTAAGTATATTACATTTGACAGAAATATCTATCAAATGGGACAACATATAAGATGGGATAGATTCTTAATAGTAGATACAAAGAAATACAGAAAGAAATACAAACGTATTAGATAGATATACAGAGAGAGAGAGAGAGAGAGAGAGAGAGAGAGAGAGAGAGAGAGAGAGAGAGAGAGAGAGAGAGAGAGGGGGGGAGGGAGAGATGAAAGAAGGATAAATATATCAGATGATAAATATATCGAGAAAACCTAGAAATTCTCACAGGAGAAGGGTAATAACATTTCAAACATGTTTATCACCTTGTTTCCGTATCATACATGACATATCCACGGACAACTGTGTAACTGTCACTAGACCGTTATACGAACTTAATCTATACATATAAACCATGCTCGTTAAAGTATCCCGTGTCAAAATCACGCGCAACGTGAATTATAACACTTACCTTGCATTGTAAATACACATTCGGTCAAATATGATTTATATTCACTTGCAGTCTCACGTACATCGGTTTATAAACACTTCATAAACCTGGTGTGTGCTTTGGCTATGTATATCGACTGTCACTCACTCCACCACAGCCGCCATGTTGTTACTAACGACGCCACGTGTTGTCAGGGTCCTTGCCTTATCACGGTTGGATCAGCGATTAGACTGCGCTCGTTCGTTGATAAGTCCTCTTGTTTTGACCTATGTCTCTCATGGGTTACTAGATCGGTTATTGAGACTCTAATCTGTACATGAACGTGATCAAGCGGCTTTAAGCTCCGCGGAGATATATTTCACATAATTGAGTATTTTATTACAGTAACGTGGGACTTTGATCACAGAAAACTGCAGGGTAAACATTAATGCTGGATAAGAACTAGGTATCCTGATGTATACAGTCAAAGGTTTTCATAATGAGATCCGACCCGTGAAGATCCGGTGTAGAATAGGTTTTCAGCAACCCATGCTTACCGTAAAAGGTGACTATGCTTGTCGTAAGAGGCGACTAACGGGATCGGGTGGTCAGGCTCTGACTTGGTTGACGCATGTCATCGATCCCAATGCATGCTTGCCGTAAAAGGTGACTATGCTTGTCGTAAGAGGCGACTAACGGGATCGGGTGGTCAGGCTCTCTGACTTGGTTGACGCATGTCATCGATCCCAATGCATGCTTGCCGTAAAAGGTGGCTGTGCTTGTCGTAAGAGGCGACTAACGGGATCGGGTGGTCAGGCTCTCTGACTTGGTTGATGCATGTCATCGATCCCAATGCATGCTTGCCATAAAAGGTGACTATGCTTGTCGTAAGAGGCGACTAACGGGATCGGGTGGTCAGGCTCGCTGACTTGGTTGATGCATGTGCGGCGTTAAACAACAAACAAACAAACTAAAAAACATAATGAGATCCAGATACGGCTTGTTTTAAATAGGTACCTTTCACGTTTATGATTTGATGAAGGAGATCGAGCCTCTGTATTAATCATTCCAAGCTTTCAAAATGTTGATATCAGGCCGGGGGACATCTGAAACGGGCTTCACACATTGTACCCATGTGGGGAATAGAACCCAGGTCTTCGGCGTAACGAGCGAACGCTTTAACCGTTTGGCAACCCCCATCGCCCTGATAATACTGAATTAGCATGCTGTTATTAATAAAAGTTTATACACTGTAACACATGTTTGAAATTAGTTGAATTGCCGTTTACTCAACGCAGTGAACAGTTTCCGTAGAATGAGGATCAGGGAACAGAAATAAGGTCACCACATATACGAACGAGTGAAGCCCCCATGCAAAAATTACCCCAGATAATTTGGAGAAAATGGCCCCAGATTTTAGTGACAATGGACCCAAAGTTTGGACAAAATGGACCCCATGTGCGAAAGAAAGTTAACACAAATCTGACCTTTCTTATGGATAGGATGTCCTGTAATGAAGAACCTTCTGATTTCTCAGCACCGTCTGTCTTCATACACGTATTGCAATTATCAGTCATTGTGATTTAGCTGTGGTCATGTTGTTGTTGCTTTAAGTGTTTAAGAGGTCGCTTTCTTCCTCAGCAATGCTGCCTGACCTGTCCCTCTTTGGGACTTATGTGTGTGAGTTGGGTACACATATCTATTGCAAGTTTTGGTATTCACGGAATTTCTGTTTTTGTATTGATATGATTTCTATTTTCGTATATTGATATAATTTCATTTTATCTTTGGCTGCTCTTTTTATATACGTTCGAGTAGCTGTCCATCTCTCAGAAATAGAGTTAGTTTGGCCTTCGTTATTGCATCTCTTGGCTTTAGGAGATCTACGACAGATAGCGGATCTAACTGCAATTCTTGTTTTAACCGAGCCCGGGCTGGGGCGTGGTCTTGACATTCCAGTAACAAGTGAGCAATGGATTCAGGTCGATTGCAAGATGGACAAACCTTCTCATAGTGGGTTTTTTATGTGTGACAGCGTCTGGGGCGTGAGACGGCAATTTCAACTTTCCTTTCATTTGAGTATGAGTCTGGCTTTTGGTGGATCATGGGTTGAATTTTGTATAGCAATCTGCCGATCTTACCTGCGTCCCATTTTGGGGCTATGGAGGCTTTGATTTTGCTTTTTATCTTTAGTTTACTGAAGGTAATAGGCTGTATCTCCGCTTTGCCCAGAACTAGCTTCGCCAGTGTGTCTGCTTTTTTTCATTTCCGTGAATATCTATTTGAGAGGGGACCTCCACCTGTTGCCCTTGGTCCGATAGTTTTGTATATTCGTAGAGAATATTATTGACTGTGTTTGGCCTGGACTTTGAGTTTGGCTTGAAGTGCACTTGGCGTGTCTGATCGGACGGCTGCCTTTGCTAGCTGTGGTCATGTTGTTGTTGCTTTAAGTGTTTAAGAGGTCGCCCTCTGCCTTAGCAATTCCGGCTGACCTGTCCTCTTTGGGACTCCTGTGTGTGAGTAGGGTACACACATCGATTGCGAGTTTTGGTATTCACAGAATTTCTTCTTTTGTATTGATATGATTTCTATTTTCGTATATTGATATAATTTCATTTTATCTTTGGTTGCTCTGTTTATAGGCTGTGGTCAGGCTGGAGGCAAGGATATATACCAAGATCAGGGATTAACGAATCCTAACTTCAAAAGAAGTTCGCCTCACTTTTGTTATTGAGGTGAGGTGAGGTGAAATTGGGTTTAACTTATATATATTTATTGCACTTATAAAGCGACGTGCATGTACGCGTATGTGTTTGTGTGGCTGCTTGTACTAGTCCTGACTGATGCCGATTTATAGTGCCAGCTCACTGAGATACCATGCCGCAGTTTAACATGAATACCCCACTCAGACACAGTATACTGACTCCGAGCCGACCAGTCCTTGTTTTAGCCCCTTAATGCCGAGCGCCAACGGGGTAACAACAAGTACCATCTTTTAACGTCTTTTGGTATGACGCTCTCGGGGCGGACGCTCTACCACTACACCACGGAGGCGGTCCCTTTTGTTATTTAATATTTTGTTTGTTAATACATGGGGCCAATGGTGGTCTCCGCACTTACCCAACTCCCGTTGCCCAGAGTTACAAAACCAGTCGAGCATGATTATCCCCAAGAACAAAAGGTGTCTCCTTTATTTTGCTCCCCATGGAATATTACACAGGACCAAATATTATGAGTACAAAGAGTATACAAAAGACCGATTTTTCAATATATCCAGAAGTGACATATTCATTAACAATTAATACACACATTAAATAATTTTCATCAAGATTTGCATGAAAATGGTATGTTGATATACAATTCATATGCAAATAAATTACCTGTATACAAAAGGTGAGGGGCGTTCAAGATTATTGGACTTCTATAGCGGCACGTGTGTGTGTGTGTGTGTGTGTGTGTCAGGCTGCTTGTACTAGTCCGGACTAATGCCGACTTAAAGTGCAAGCCCTCTGAGATACCATGCCACAGTTGAACATGAATACCCCACTCATACATAATATAATGACTCCAAACCGACCAGACCTTGTTATAGCCCCTTAATGCCGAGAGCCAGGCAGGGTAACAAGAAGTACCATCTTTTAACATCCTTTGGTTAATCTGGAAAAAATCTGGAAAGTGTGATACAACATTTGTCATAAAGTAAATGAATGAATGCTGTTCAATAACCCATCTCATTAAAATCACATCTTAGTTCTCGCTGCCGCTAAAAAAAGATCTGAGGACATCCCATTACGGGTCCGGCTTCACGGGAATCGAAACCGGGTCTTCGGCGTGACGAGCGAACGCTTTAACCACTAGGCTACCCGACCACCCATTACCTTTATTAGAGGCTTGGGGTGTGGGGTGTGGGTGAGGAGGAAGAGACTCCTTTCTAATCTCTCAAACACAATTAAAAAATGTGTATTTTTTTCAGTTTTCAAATCTCGTAATTCTAAATCCGTTGAGCGAGAACATCCTCAAGACAACCTTCTGAGCTGCCGGCCACGTGGTGCGAGTGTAAACATAACTCCCCCTGTATATAATCTGTGATTATGCACAGGGGGAAACGGAACGAAACCGCTCTTAAAGGGGCACTGATCTAAAGCAGTTCCCTGGGACTGGTTGTTGCGCATTAGTCACTTTTATCGATAGCAATAAGGGCGTATGGTCACATTGATCAACAAATTGAAATATGGTTTTCGACAAAATAAGGAAATGTAGGTATCTTTGTGGGTAGCATCGGTAATGGTAACGAAGTTTTGATAAGTCACTTGCTTGGTAATTTTGCGATTTTCGTTTACACTATTTTGACTTGCAACACAAAGTAAATATTTCACCTGAGCATTGCTTTTTTTATAGTGTGTATATTTTTTTACTGTCAAAATATGTAACATTTTCAAATGTATTAAACGCCTAAATATTCGGTTATTTTACAAATTGACTGAATTTTTTTTACATCTGTATTATTATGATAATGAATTCCAAACAATTTCATGTTTAATGTCATCACCAAGAGACTGAAAATGTTACGTTGAAAAGTACATTTCTATGTTGTTTGGCTTCTAATCCTACTTAATAATCTGTTGTGATGTTTTTAGGCTCTTTTGATCGTCTTAATCAACTTTAGTCAATCTGTTAAAGAAATGGACAGATTTTTCAGTCAAAATGACTGAAATATTTACACATTTTATAAATTGCCTGAGAGAATCACATTTTACAAATTGACGGTAATATATACACGCTTACAAAGGAAAAGACTTGTGAAAACAACGTCTATCGCGCATTGAAGAATTTTCTAGTTCAAAAGTATTGCCTGTTAGTATTTTTATTTTCGTTTTTACGTCGTACGACAACGATGGACGCATTATTTTCACCAATTTTATGTATTTCCTTAGTGGGGTGCAATAATGTATATGACTTAATTTTAGAGTAGCGTCCCTTTGATATGAGCTCATCGCTTGATTCAACTGGTATTGCTTTTGATATGCGGCAGCGCTTGAACGCCGTTAAACAAACAAGAAAAATAACGATGAACCAAGTTCACACAAGATGTCGCTCGCCCAGAATGATATCGTTGTAACTTGTCAACTTTGATTCTGTCAAAATTCACCCGAAATAACGAATTAATGCCTGCCTAAATGGTTGTTTCAGACTCAATCCTCTTTCCTCCTTCCAACATGAAGGTGCGAATTACAAGTTTAGATGGGAGGGATTATTTAGCCGACCTTCATCAGGAATGGAGTGTTGATAAAGTAAAAATCATGTCGCTTAGCCATTTCTTCAACCCAGCTGAGAGCATGAAAACCTCACTGTATCATAAACTGGTACATGTGAGGTCTGGTAAAGTCCTTGACGAGGAGCAGAGCCTTGCGCAGGAAGGTGTCAGAGATAATGGTAAGGTTAAGTGAATTTCAGATTACAATTTACATTCTACGATATTATGATTGGCGGTTGAATGAAAGTTTCTCTGCACATTAGCTGGCCTGTGTGGAATAATTGTTTGTACTGCAATATGCGCTCAGCTTCTAAGATTATTCAATATAGATCTTTATTAAAGACAACTTGTTGCGGTGGGGTAACCTATTGGTTAAAGTGTTCACTGGCCATGCTGAAGACCTGGTTTTGATATTGTGGAATATATCTAAAAGTGGCGTAAAACAATACTCACTCACTGTGTAGCAAACCGTGGAGACATCCCCCAGATGACATCCTTACCTTGTCAGCTGACTGACGGGGTGAACCTCCTGGGTAATGTGGATAGGACGTCCGACCCCAGATGAGAAGCTCCACGATGTTGATTCAAATCCAATAACCAGAATCCGAAATTTTATATAGTCACATCTGTATCATGCAACTGGGGATGCTCCCCCTTGATAAAAGTATTGTGGTACCGAATATGATGAGACGGGGGATAAAATCTCCTAACACCTCCATGGCCTCGTGGGTAGAGTGTCTGCCCTGGGAGCGGAAGGTCGGTGATTTGACAACCTGACAACGTCATACAGAAAGATGTTCAAAGATGGCAGCCTATGCATTTATGAATCTAGTGGTCTTGGTTGATTGTTGGCCATTGTGAAAAAATAGTTTAATTGTTATAATATCAATTGTTAATTTGTCCGGTCCAGGCACAGCTTAATTAGAGGCAGTTGTTATATAGCTAGAATATTTCTGAATGTTGTGTTAAGTATCGTAAACAGCAAAACAACAGAAGCTCTTATTCATATTGCTGGTCTTAAGCCTGACCGTGGCTGGTAACTTCTCTGTCGGCTGCATGAAATTTTCCTCTACCTGCCCGACTGTCTGGCAGATCATGCATATATGTTAAGACAACTTGCGTACTTGTTATAAATCCTCGTAGATTCTCATGTTATTGTTAGCATTATATCAACTGAGTCAAGATGCAATTTATAATGTCTGAGGGAGTGAGTGAGTTGTGTTTAACGCCGCTTTTAACAGTATTCCAGTTATATCACAGTGTGTCAGTTTAATGTGGGAGGAAAGCCCGATGTGATGCAGATCTAAGACAGCGGTAGAAACTAACATTTTTAGTCCACTAGTCCTTATAATGATAACATGTAGTAAAATCCTTAAAATGGCAAATTTCTACTAGTCCTTATGATACCTTAACTATTGGGCAGTTTGGCGGGGACTACAGGACTAGTGCCAATTTCCAATGCTGTCTAACACGTTTACCACTTTGGTGAAACCCACAAACACGGGTATGGTGCTGACAAACCTAGAAATATAATCGGGGCGAATCGGGATTCGAACCCACAATCATAGGTTTCTGCCGTGCCTAAGGGATGCAAATCTGCACAGCTAATTGCAGCGCCTTAGACGAGTCAGCCACCCGTGCCCCCCTGTAATCTCTGAATACGGGCAGGTAACTTTGAAGATGGGCAGGCTCTGTGACACGTTAGATTGTAAAGGTACCCCAAAAGCTTGGGAGTTTTTGTGCTACAGAATTTGGGATTCTCAAAAGTTTGCTTGTTTGAATCATTAAGATAAAATTAGTTAGGTTATAGCTCAGGGAAGGATTTCATAATGTCATGTTATTGTTAAGTGTCTGCGTTGTGTTTCGTTCAAACTGGACTAGTTGTAGACTCGTAATATTTCAGATACAGGATAATGACGCTTGTTATGTGGCAGTGTATTTTACTGTTCAACAATGATTGTAACTGTGTTATATCGTTTCTGTCGAGATTCAGTTGACGCTTGTTGCATTGTGTTTGGGCAGTGATTAATCGTCAGGAAGTTACTATATTTAGATGTATACCACGGACGATGATAGTATGTTATAGAGACATAAGGAAATTTCTGTAATGTTATGAGGGAACTGTCTGGAACTTTCGAGCTGCTAGTAGGGTTGTATATAAGGGGACATTAGTGTGTTTGTGTATCTCTCACGCTTTGATACCCGCTTTCATGTGAGGATCGCTCATCATCTCTGATTCCCTGCCTAGCCCATCTCGAAAGCTTGACCACTGTCCCCCGGGGGGTTAATATAATTATTATCATTGACGTTTACCGTCACCACTATTTGTATTTGATACTGTCCACTGCCATCATGTTATATATTGCCATTGAATATTGTACCACCACTCTATTGTCTACAGTGCAGTAATTGCTGTGCAGTAATTTGCATTGTTTTCCAAACTTAGTGTATTTTGTAATACATTTGTTCATAGTATACCACTTGTTGGTTTCACATAATGTTCTTTTATGTACAAATTTCTGGATAAACAGATTGTTTCAACTTGGGAATCGACATTTTAGACACTGGTGAGTGACCGAGTTGGGTTTAACGCCGCTTTTAACAGTATTCCAGTTATATCACAGCGTGTCAGCTTAATGTGGGAGGAAAGCCCGAAGTGATGCAGGTCTCAGACGTTTACCGCTTTGGTGAAACCCACAAACACGGGTATGGTGCTGACAAACCTAGAAACATAACTGGGGGGAACCGGGATTCGAACCCACAATAATAGGTTCCTGGCGTGCCCAAGGGACACAACTCTGCACAGCGAATTGCGGTGCCTTAAACGACTGGGCCACCCACCATTCTTTCGGAGAGTGTAATTAGTCATTAAGCATGTTAAGAAAACATTATTATATTGAGTGAAGTCTTTTTCACCACAAACTTGCACGCCTGTTACCTGAAAACACAAATAGCACCATTACGAAAACCTAAAAATTTGTTTTCAGATGAACTGCTTCTTTTGAAAAGACGACTTCCGCCATCTCCCTTTGATGGGCCTGAGAAAGCCAAGGTAAGGTCGGTGTTGGGTGCACATGTATACCAGTAAAGGTATCCGGTACCATGGTAACAAGTGTACACCATATTCCCAATGGGTATAAATATGCTTTTATTTTTTGCTAAGTCAAAATTTATATGTAATTATTTATATGTATTCTTATTCTAGTCTACAGAGATATCAATTTAACCACTCTGCTTTCGACAGTTATTTTTACAACCAAATGTTTACCTAGGATTTACCTAATCTAAAAAGACAGTATTTAGGATATAAAACGTCATGGTGGGAAATCGTCTCTAACCTTGATGCAGCACAACGTTGGTATCGGCTGTTCTGTGTTCATACTTATAATATGCTCCACTATGACCAAGGATTTACTGTCTTGTATGAAAGTGCGGACCAGATAATCCTCCTGTCATCATGGCCATAACCTGTATTGCAGCCTTTACAACCATGCATCATCACCAGTGTACACCGGACTCCCTGGTTCAGTGTACAGGTTAAGGGACATGGTGGTTCAGTGTATGGTCGTGGTGGTTCAGTGTATGGACTCCGACATGGTGGTTCAGTGTATGGACATGGTGGTTCAGTGTATGGATGTGGTGGTTCAGTGTATGGACGTGGTGGTTCAGTGTATGGACATTGTGATTCAGTGTACAGATTTATGGACATGGTGGTTCATTGTATGGACGCGGTGGTTCAGTGTATAGACGTGGTGGTTCAGTGTATGGACGTGGTGGTTCAGTGTACAGGTTTATGGACATGGTGGTTCAGTGTATGGACACGGTGGTTCAGTGTATGGACGCAGTAGTTCAGTGTATGGACATGGTGGTTCAGTGTATGGACATGGTGGTTCAGTGTATGGACACGGTGGTTCAGCGTATGGACACGGTGGTTCAGTGTATGGACGCAGTGGTTCAGTGTATGGCCGTGGTGGTTCAGTGTATGGACGTGGTGGTTCAGTGTATGGATGTGGTGGTTCAGTGTATGGACGTGGTGGTTCAGTGTATGGACGTGGTGGTTCAGTGTATGGATGTGGTGGTTCAGTGTATGGACATGGTGGTTCAGTGTATGGACATGGTGGTTCAGTGTATGGACGTGGTGGTTCAGTGTATGGATGTGGTGGTTCAGTGTATGGGCGTGGTGGTTCAGTGTATGGGCGTGGTGGTTCAGTGTATGGACGTGGTGGTTCAGTGTATGGACGTGGTGGTTCAGTGTATGGCTGTTGTGGTTCAGTGTATTGTCGTGGTGGTTCAGTGTATGGACATGGTGGTTCAGTGTATGGATGTGGTGGTTCAGTGTATGGGCGTGGTGGTTCAGTGTATGGCCGTGGTGGTTCAGTGTATGGACGTGGTGGTTCAGTGTATGGCTGTTGTGGTTCAGTGTATTGTCGTGGTGGTTCAGTGTATGGACATGGTGGTTCAGTGTATGGATGTGGTGGTTCAGTGTATGGCTGTGGTGGTTCAGTGTATGGACGTGGTGGTTCAGTGTATGGCTGTTGTGGTTCAGTGTATTGTCGTGGTGGTTCAGTGTATGGACATGGTGGTTCAGTGTATGGACGTGGTGGTTCAGTGTATGGACGTGGTGGTTCAGTGAATGGGCAAGGTGGTTCAGTGTATGGATGTGGTGGTTCAGTGTATGGATGTGGTGGTTCAGTGTATGGCTGTGGTGGTTCAGTGTATGGCCGTGGTGGTTCAGTGTATGGCTGTGGTGGTTCAGTGTATGGGCGTGGTGGTTCAGTGTATGGACGTGGTGGTTCAGTGTATGGCTGTTGTGGTTCAGTGTATTGTCGTGGTGGTTCAGTGTATGGACATGGTGGTTCAGTGTATGGACGTGGTGGTTCAGTGTATGGACGTGGTGGTTCAGTGAATGGGCAAGGTGGTTCAGTGTATGGATGTGGTGGTTCAGTGTATGGCCGTGGTGGTTCAGTGTATGGCTGTGGTGGTTCAGTGTATGGGCGTGGTGGTTCAGTGTATGGCCGTGGTGGTTCAGTGTATGGGCGTGGTTCAGTGTATGGCTGTGGTGGTTCAGTGTATGGACGTGGTGGTTCAGTGTATGGCTGTGGTGGTTCAGTGTATGGACGTGGTGGTTCAGTGTATGGACGTGGTGGTTCAGTGTATGGCTGTGGTGGTTCAGTGTATGGATGTGGTGGTTCAGTGTATGGCCGTGGTGGTTCAGTGTATGGGCGTGGTGGTTCAGTGTATGGACACGGTGGTTCAGTGTATGGACGTGGTGGTTCAGTGTATGGGCGTGGTGGTTCAGTGTATGGACACGGTGGTTCAGTGTATGGACGTGGTGGTTCAGTGTATGGACGTGGTGGTTCAGTGTATGGACGTGGTGGTTCAGTGTATGGACGTGGTGGTTCAGTGTATGGCTGTGGTGGTTCAGTGTATGGACGTGGTGGTTCAGTGTATGGATGTGGTGGTTCAGTGTATGGACGTGGTGGTTCAGTGTATGGACGTGGTGGTTCAGTGTATGGACACGGTGGTTCAGTGTATGGTCGTGGTGGTTCAGTGTATGGCCGTGGTGGTTCAGTGTATGGGCGTGGTGGTTCAGTGTATGGACATGGTGGTTCAGTGTATTGTCGTGGTGGTTCAGTGTATGGACGTGGTGGTTCAGTGTATGGCTGTGGTGGTTCAGTGTATGGATGTGGTGGTTCAGTGTATGGACATGGTGGTTCAGTGTATGGGCGTGGTGGTTCAGTGTATGGACGTGGTGGTTCAGTGTATGGACGTGGTGGTTCAGTGTATGGCTGTGGTGGTTCAGTGTATGGATGTGGTGGTTCAGTGTATGGACATGGTGGTTCAGTGTATGGGCGTGGTGGTTCAGTGTATGGCCGTGGTGGTTCAGTGTATGGGCGTGGTGGTTCAGTGTATGGACGTGGTGGTTCAGTGTATGGACGTGGTGGTTCAGTGTATGGCTGTGGTGGTTCAGTGTATGGATGTGGTGGTTCAGTGTATGGACGTGGTGGTTCAGTGTATGGACGTGGTGGTTCAGTGTATGGACGTGGTGGTTCAGTGTATGGCCGTGGTGGTTCAGTGTATGGACATGGTGGTTCAGTGTATGGACATGGTGGTTCAGTGTATGGCTGTGGTGGTTCAGTGTATGGACGTGGTGGTTCAGTGTATGGACATGGTGGTTCAGTGTATGGACATGGTGGTTCAGTGTATGGACGTGGTGGTTCAGTGTATAGACGTGGTGGTTCAGTGTATGGCTGTGGTGGTTCAGTGTATGGACGTGGTGGTTCAGTGTATGGACGTGGTGGTTCAGTGTATGGCTGTGGTGGTTCAGTGTATGGATGTGGTGGTTCAGTGTATGGACGTGGTGGTTCAGTGTATGGACGTGGTGGTTCAGTGTATGGACACGGTGGTTCAGTGTATGGTCGTGGTGGTTCAGTGTATGGCCGTGGTGGTTCAGTGTATGGGCGTGGTGGTTCAGTGTATGGACACGGTGGTTCAGTGTATGGACACGGTGGTTCAGTGTATGGACGTGGTGGTTCAGTGTATGGACACGGTGGTTCAGTGTATGGACACGGTGGTTCAGTGTATGGACGTGGTGGTTCAGTGTATGGACGTGGTGGTTCAGTGTATGGACACGGTGGTTCAGTGTATGGTCGTGGTGGTTCAGTGTATGGCCGTGGTGGTTCAGTGTATGGGCGTGGTGGTTCAGTGTATGGACACGGTGGTTCAGTGTATGGACGTGGTGGTTCAGTGTATGGGCGTGGTGGTTCAGTGTATGGACACGGTGGTTCAGTGTATGGACGTGGTGGTTCAGTGTATGGGCGTGGTGGTTCAGTGTATGGACGTGGTGGTTCAGTGTATGGACGTGGTGGTTCAGTGTATGGACATGGTGGTTCAGTGTATGGACGTGGTGGTTCAGTGTATGGCTGTGGTGGTTCAGTGTATGGACGTGGTGGTTCAGTGTATTGTCGTGGTGGTTCAGTGTATGGATGTGGTGGTTCAGTGTATTGTCGTGGTGGTTCAGTGTATGGACGTGGTGGTTCAGTGTATGGCCGTGGTGGTTCAGTGTATGGATGTGGTGGTTCAGTGTATGGATGTGGTGGTTCAGTGTATGGATGTTGTGGTTCAGTGTATGGATGTGGTGGTTCAGTGTATGGATGTTGTGGTTCAGTGTATGGATGTGGTGGTTCAGTATATGGACGTGGTGGTTCAGTGTATGGACGTGGTGGTTCAGTGTATGGATGTGGTGGTTCAGTGTATGGGCGTGGTGGTTCAGTGTATGGACATGGTGGTTCAGTGTATGGACATGGTGGTTCAGTGTATGGTCGTGGTGGTTCAGTGTATGGGCGTGGTGGTTCAGTGTATGGACGTGGTGGTTCAGTGTATGGACGTGGTGGTTCAGTGTATGGACGTGGTGGTTCAGTGTATGGGCGTGGTGGTTCAGTGTATGGACGTGGTGGTTCAGTGTATGGACGTGGTGGTTCAGTGTATGGACGTGGTGGTTCAGTGTATGGACGTGGTGGTTCAGTGTATGGGCGTGGTGGTTCAGTGTATGGACGTGGTGGTTCAGTGTATGGACGTGGTGGTTCAGTGTATGGCTGTTGTGGTTCAGTGTATGGACGTGGTGGTTCAGTGTATGGACGTGATGGTTCAGTGTATGGGCGTGGTGGTTCAGTGTATGGGCGTGGTGGTTCAGTGTATGGCCGTGGTGGTTCAGTGTATGGGCATGGTGGTTCAATATATGAACATGGTGGTTCAGTGCACATTGTGTGACTGTTTCAGGCTGATGGCAAGAAGGAAATGGACATGGAGACCATCAGACGTATGACGGCCGATGTGCCCAAGTCAACGTGTGAAGCTGCCGATGACTCGTCTGATCCAGCTGTAGATGTAAGACCTAGTTCAGGGCTAATACTTTTATCAGACCAGGTTCATACTATCGTTAGACCTGGTTCATACTATCGTCAGACCTGGTTCATACTACATCAGACCAGGTTCATACTATCGTCAGACGAACTTCATGCTATCGTCAGACCTGGTTCATACTATCGTCAGACCTGGTTCATGCTAGGCAGACCTGGTTCATACTATCGTTAGACCTGGTTCATACTATCGTTAGACCTGGTTCATACTACATCAGACCAGGTTCATACTATCGTCAGACGAACTTCATGCTATCGTCAGATCTGGTTCATACTATCGTCAGACCTGGTTCATACTAGCGTCAGACCAGGTTCATACTATCGTCAGACGAACTTCATGCTATCGTCAGACCTGGTTCATGCTATCGTTAGACCTGGTTCATACTATCATCAGACCTGGTTCATACTATCGTTAGACCTGGTTCATACTATCGTTAGACCAGGTTCATACTATCGTCAGATGAACTTCATGCTATCGTCAGATCTGGTTCATACTATCGTCAGACCTGGTTCATACTATCGTTAGACCTGGTTCATACTATCGTCAGACCTGGTTCATACTAGCGTCAGACCAGGTTCATACTATCGTCAGACGAACTTCATGCTATCGTCAGACCTGGTTCATGCTAGTCAGACCTGGTTCATACTATCGTTAGACCTGGTTCATACTGTCGTCAGACCTGGTTCATACTATCATTAGACCTGGTTCATACTATCGTTAGACCAGGTTCATACTATCGTCAGATGAACTTCATGCTATCGTCAGATCTGGTTCATACTATCGTCAGACCTGGTTCATACTATCGTTAGACCTGGTTCATACTATCGTCAGACCTGGTTCATACTAGCGTCAGACCAGGTTCATACTATCGTCAGACGAACTTCATGCTATCGTCAGACCTGGTTCATGCTAGTCAGACCTGGTTCATACTATCGTTAGACCAGGTTGATACTAGCGTCAGACCTGGTTCATACTATCGTCAGACCTGGTTCATACTATCATTAGACCTGGTTCATACTATTATGCTTGTGCAGTCTATTTTACACACGTTCAGCAGTCCAGAGTTTATGACATCAGCATGGCCACTACATTCATTGGAGACTGTCATATACAACAGGATGAGGCGTCATCATGATGATTAAGAAGTAGTGACTTTCATTAACAGCCGATTAATGTTATTTCTTTGTTTCCAACATTTGTATGAAGAATATTCCAAAAATATTGAAGGATGCTCTTTATGACTTTTTTTTACGAGTTATTGTTTGATATTGTGTACTGGTGAAGAACTAGACCCGCCTGAAATTGTGATAATTCTGATATTTGTCTTTGTACAGTTCCAGACAGAGCTGCGCCGTATCCTGATATCGTTGATAGAAGCCTCACAGAGAATCCTCTGCATGAACCCTGCAGCTGCCAAAATATTCAAACAGGCTGAAGGTCAGCATAAATCTATTTTCTATAGGGTTGATTCTCAGGCAGTGACTTTTGAAAATATAGTGTGGTCGGCTTTTGTTTTTTAGTTCAAACTAGTATGTAACCAAATATATACAGTGAACCATCACCCTGGGACAGGACCTCCCTACATAAACAAGCATACAAACTCCTATTGCTGCTTGACCATAACACGAGATGCACAGTAAAGCAGTGCATATGTAAAGGGAAGTAACTGCGTGCTATATTGGATCGCATTGTTTTTAAGTATATGGATGTTTTGATTTTTTTTATAATGGAAATACAAACGAAATGTGCGGCAGACTTTTTGTTAATGTGGGTGGTGCCTGAGTACCAAGACTATTATTTCTTTTAGCCTAGGCTCTGTCTGTCTCACAGAAGACTGAGGGAGTTCGCCTTAAAACTGCTTTGAGAAATATTTCAGTTACGTATATTACGTAATAAGCGCCCCGCTCTAATAAGCGCCCACGGCGATATTTGCTAATATATTGGCTAGTGAACAATCCCAATTATCACTCCTTCCTATTAATCAATATACACAAGACTTATTTATTCGTGTATAATACACAGTCGTGTGTTATATGCATTCTTAATTATGGGCAATTAAATTCTGGAAAAATGTATCTGTTGCATATTAACATTTCAGTGTGTCAGCATAAACCACGAAATTTATCTTTCAACTCTCTTTTCTCACCAAAATAATATTCTAATAAGAGCCCCCTATTTCTAATTTGGTCGCTATATAAGTGGACGCGATGTTAAACCCAATTTCACCTCACCTCACCTATTTCTAATTTTGAGAGCGCCCTGGGTGCTTGTTACGTCGAATACGGTATATCAGGGCGTGTCGTCTTACTGTGGGGGGAAAACCCAAAGTGATAAAAATCTAATATATTTACCTTTGACTAAACAGGAATCATCCTTATTAGGAGATCCCAGCACAACTAAGGAATAGTATGGCATAGAGACCGGTAGTGCCCGCACTCCCATCTAATACAGGAACACAATGGATAATTGAATCACTTGTCCAATGCATCACGAACACAGGACCCGTGAAGATGCAGGGTAGAATAGGTCTTCAGCAGCCCATGCTTGCTGTAAAAGGCGACTATGCTTGTCGTTAAGAGGCTACTAACGGGATCAGGTAGTGAGGCTTGCTGACTTGGTTGATGCATCGTTCTCAATTACGTGGATCGATGCTCCTGATGTCAGTCCCTGGATTATCTGGTCCAGACTCGATTATTAACAGACCGCCATCATATAGCTGGAATACTGCTGAGTGCGGCGTAAAACAACAAACAACACTATCAATTAGTCTGGACTAGTTCATGCAACCAGCCACACACACACACACACACACACACACACACACACACATATGCTATGTTAATGCAATAATCTTGAGCACGACTTGAAACCTCATTTTATCTCACCTGACATGACTGTTACAACATTTTATATGGGTTAATCTCAAAGTAAGTTACTTTTTGCATAATAGAATTCACAGAGTAAACTCCATATTGAAGTCATTGAATTTCTTGTACATGGGAATATTTTCAGAAATCCTAAATGAGCCTCCTCGGCCGAGTCAGGTGGACGATATGTCACTCAAACAGCTGGTGGATATGGGCTTCCCGGAGGCGAGAGCTCGGAAGGCTCTCATGCTGAATAAGTAAGCTTGGTTCTTTGTAAGCCTCTCTGTTTTCTGCAGCCTGGTCACACGGAGGGGATGTACGATTACTCCTTCATTTTCCGAAATGTTCAGAACATGCCTCTGTTCACCCAGCAGTGAATGGGTACCTGGTAGGATGTGATGGCAATGTGGTTGTTAATCTTCTAGCACCTAACAGGCAGCTTGAGTTGTATGATCCCCAGGGAGCTGAGAATGATTCTTAGTGCACATTGATCCAGTGACTGGGGTAATAATAGTGCTTTGAGCATGCGTCTCAGTGGTGTGGAAATATGCACAATAAAAAAAGCCTATCATCATCATCATCAGCAGCAGCACCAGCATCAGCATCAGCATTAGCATTATCCCTGCTACCCTCAGTGGTACAAGAGCAATGAAATGCCCCCCCCCCCCCCCCATCATCCCATTTCACCCCGTATCAGTAGGTGGGAGACTAAACACTCAACATTTGGCAGAATTAGAACCTTCTCGGAGACCAGTTTTGTCACAAATATTGTCTGAAATGGATACAACTATATTGTTGCCGAGCCTCACCTCATTACGTCACTGACGTCGACCACACGAGAGGGGGTGTACTCTTACCTGGGCCCACTTGCACAAACAATCTTAGCGCTATGACTATTGCAAGCCTATGTTAAAGTATGGGAGTTTTGATCATCTTAGCGCTAAGATCGCTTTGTACAAGTGGGCCCTGAACCCTGCTGCCCTTAGTTTTACAACAATGAAATGCCATGGTCTGTATAGGCTCAAATCCCAGGCTGAGGAACTATTTTGAGAAAAGTTACTGGGTTTGTAAAGGACTACCAGAGACGAAACATCTTACTGATATTATATTTGAGCATGACTACATTATAAGGGTGGATTTTGATTTTTTGAGAAATATTGACCGAACTTCATATAATGAGTCTTAATGGTTCAATGCCCAATACCCATGCCCGTGGTCCAGTAGTAAAGCGTCTTCCTGGAGAGAGGGAGGTCTGGTGTTTGAGATGGTACTTGTTGTTACCGTGCCTGGCCCTTGGCATTAAGGGGCTAAAACAAGGACTTGTGGGCTTGGAGTCTGGACAACTACAAGCAGACACACACTCACGTGCATGCATGTCGCTACATGAGCACAAAAATCTTGAACTTGACGTTAAACCCGATTTCACCTCACCTCACGCAAAACCTTGATTCAAAAATTGTAGACATGAGAACAATTGGTGATGCAAAGTCCCATTTAACATATTAACCTATACACTTCAGCCAGTAATATTGTTATACTGTGTTCTCCAGGATGAATGTGATGCCAGCGATGGAGTGGTTGTTTCAACACGAGGATGACCCTGACATTGATGCACCTCTGCCAGGGGAGGAGGAGACAACTCCGCAGACTCCAGAGGAGCAGGTACACTCTTCAAACTTCCATTTCATCCTAGGGAGCCATCTGGCTCCTAATGGTGTCTTTTTAAAGTAGGATCAATGCCTTGGAAAGTAGATCGTTGCCTTGAAAAGTAAGATAATTGCCTTGAAAAGGGCTAAAGGCCTTAATTTTAAGTTCTCTATGTTAAAGGGAACAAAGTATGGTGCATGAGGTATGGTGAACTAGGTACGGTGAACTAATGGTGAACGATGTATCATGAATTAGAAATGGTGAACTAGGTATGGTGAACAAGGTATCATGAATTAGGAATGGTGAACTAGGTATGGTGAACAAGTTATGGTGAATGAGGTATCATGAACTAGGAAAGGTGAACTAGGTATGGTGAACGAGGTATCATGAACTAGGAATGGTGAGCAAGTTATGGTGAATGATGTATCATGAAATAGGAAGGGTGAACAAGTTATGGTGAACAAGGTATCATGAACTAGGAATGGTAAGCAAGTTATGGTGAATGAGGTATCATGAACTAGGAATAGTGAACTAGGTACGGTGAACAAGTTATGGTGAACGAGGGGAAAAAACTGGGAATGGTGAACTAGGTATGGTGAACAAGTTATGGTGAATGAGGTATCATGAATTAGGAATGGTGAAACAGGTATGATGAACAAGTTATGGTGAACGAGGTATCATGAACTAGGTACGGTGAACTAGTTATGGTGAATGAGGTACGGTGAACTAGTTATGGTGAACAAGGTATTGTGAACGAGGTATGGTGAAATAGTAATGGTGAATGCGGTATCATGAACTAGTTATTGTGAATGAGGTATGGTGAAGTAGTTATGTAGAACGAGGTACGGTGAACTAGTTATGGTGAACTAGGTATCATGAACTAAGAACGGTGAACTAGGTATCATGGACTAAGAACGGTGAACTAGTTATGGTGAATGAAGTACGGTGAACTAGTTATGGTGAACAAGGAACAGTGAACTATTTATGGTGAACTAGCTATTATGAACTAAGAACGGTAAACTATGTATGGGGAACAAGGTATGGTGAAGTAGTTATGATGAATGAGGTACGGTGAACTAGTTATGGTGAATGAGGTACGGTGAACTAGTTATGGTGAACAAGGTATTGTGAAAGAGGTATGGTGAAGTAGTTATGGTGAATGCGATATCATGAACTAGTTATTGTGAATGAGGTATGGTGAAGTAGTTATGTAGAACGAGGTATGGTGAACTAGTTATGGTGAACTAGGTATCATGAACTAAGAACGGTGAACTAGGTATCATGGACTAAGAACGGTGAACTAGTTATGGTGAATGAAGTACGGTGAACTAGTTATGGTGAACAAGGAACAGTGAACTATTTATGGTGAACTAGCTATTATGAACTAAGAACGGTAAACTATGTATGGGGAACAAGGTATGGTGAAGTAGTTATGATGAATGAGGTACGGTGAACTAGTTATGGTGAACTAGGTATCATGAACTAAGAACAGTGAACTAGGTATGGTGAACCGGGTATCATGAACTTAGAACAGTGAACTGGGTATGGTGAAGTAGTTATAGTGAATGAGGTATGGTGAACTGGGTATGGTGAACTAGTTATAGTGAATGAGGTATGGTGAACTGGGTATGGTGAAGTAGTTATGGGGAAGGAGGTACGGTGAACTGGGTATGGTGAACTAGTTAAAGTGAATGAGGTATGGTGAACTAGTTATAGTGAATGAGGTATGGTGAACTGGGTATGGTGAACTAGTTATAGTGAATGAGGTATGGTGAACTGGGTATGGTGAACTAGTTATAGTGAATGAGGTATGGTGAAATAGTTATAGTGAATGAGGTATGGTGAACTGGGTATGGTGAACTAGTTATAGTGAATGAGGTATGGTGAACTAGTTATGGTGAATGAGGTATGGTGAACTGGGTATGGTGAACTAGTTATAGTGAATGAGGTATGGTGAACTGGGTATGGTGTACTAGTTATAGTGAATGAGGTATGGTGAACTGGGTATGGTGAACTAGTTATAGTGAATGAGGTATGGTGAACTAGTTATAGTGAAGGAGGTATGGTGAACTGGGTATGGTGAACTAGTTATAGTGAATGAGGTATGGTGAACTAGTTATAGTGAAGGAGGTATGGTGAACTAGTTATAGTGAATGAGGTACGGTGAACTGGGTATGGTAAACTAGTTATAGTGAATGAGGTACGGTGAACTGGGTATGGTGAACTAGTTATAGTGAATGAGGTACGGTGAACTGGGTATGGTGAACTAGTTATAGTGAAGGAGGTATGGTGAACTGGGTATGGTGAACTAGTTATAGTGAAGGAGGTATGGTGAACTGGGTATGGTGAACTAGTTATAGTGAATGAGGTACGGTGAACTGGGTATGGTGAACTAGTTATAGTGAATGAGGTACGGTGAACTGGGTATGGTGAACTAGTTATAGTGAATGAGGTATGGTGAACTGGGTATGGTGAACCTTCTATGATCCTGACTTCAGCCAGAGGGAGCAATTGGCGGCAAGGAAAATCCTGATGGAACTCCCAAAGTGACAAATATTCTCGAATCTCTACGAGCTTTCAGGAAGAGGGAATTCCGTCCAAATGCCAGGGTAAGTGAAAACTCAGACAGTGATTCTAGGAACAATACCAGGGCTGGTCAAAAAGTTCTAAGTCTGACTAACATTCAGCTAAGGGCCATACCAAAGTGAGCTAGTCAATGTAGTACATTGTTTGAGTAGTTCATTGCAAGTGTATTTGGTCTGTTGAAGCCGTTTGTATATTAGTGACAGCCAGTTGATCGTGATAGGCGTCCAAATGGACACAGAAATGGAAAAGAACAAGTACCAAGCAGTCATCAAGATGATGACCCTAGGTCTGGACGTCCCTCAACTTCCATCAATGAAGATTCAACCAAGGAGTTAGACAATAGATTACCAATGCTGACCTTGAGGAAGACACAGGCCTAAGCCATGGAACCATTGAAACTATTATTCATGAACATTTATGGATGAATAACATATTTGCTGTTTGGGTGCCAGAGTTCCTAAATTCTGATCTTACAAAAAAAGAACTGACAAAGCCAGAGAAAATTCAGAGCTAACTGAGGATTTCATCACAATCAAAAAGAGATTAGTTCTGGGTGATAAAACATGGGTCTACCACTATGATCCTGAGTCACAACATCAGTCCATGGAAGGGCACCATTCCACTTCTCTAGCACCAAAGAAATTCAAGTCTTGAAGATCAGTGAAGAAAGTTACGGCTACTGTATTCTGGGATGCAAAGGGTGTGATCCTTGTTGATTACTTAGAAAGTCAAAAGACGATTACCAGTGCCTGCTATGCTGATTTGCTTCTTAGCCTGAGAGATTCTGTCAAAGAAAATCTGCGAGGAATGCTGACTGCTTGAGTTCTACTACTTCATGACCATGCCTCTTCTCACACCTTTTGACTTTCAAAGGCTGCAATGCAACAATGTGGGTTCGAAGAGCTTCCTCACCCTCCATACTCGCTCCACCTGTTTCCTATACTGAAAGAACACCGCATAAAGCACTATGATAACAGTGATGACCTCAAAGCTGCATTGAATGGGTTCTCAGGGTGACTTCAGAAAACTTTTTCCTGGAATTGAAAAGCTCCACTATCAATATGAGAAGTGTATTGAAAAGCTGGAGAATTATGTTGAAAAATAAAATCATAAACACTTTCACAATTGTTGGTTTTGTTTGTTAGGCTTAGAACCTTTTGACCAGCCCTTGGAACATTGGTGTGTTTCAGATCTCACTGATACTGTTGAGGTTGTTATAACATCGATCTGTCAGTTTTAATCGGTTCTGTTGTCTATGACAAGATAATCCTCCTTAAGTCTTTTTGTCCTACTCTCTTGAGGAGCCACAAGTGGCACAACTGTCTTTGACAGTGCAGTTCCCTTTGCTGATTAACATGCTTCAGTCCTGCAACGGTTTGAAAAATGAAGTCCAAAGAAATATCAGAAATCCAGCTATTGTAACTAACAATATACTCCATGCAGGAATTCAGTGATTGGATGCAGAGTACAAACGATGATGCATTTATTAGCCACAGTTGATAACACTGTCCTATGATCAGCTGTCCATACATAGTTGATCAACATGGATAATTATAAATGTTATTAATTTTCAACCATATGTTATGGAGTCATAACCTAAATGCCTCTGAATGTATAATTTGTATCCTTTATTTTTTTAAGGAAATCTAAACTAACAATCAGCCCCATTTGGAATGACAGATAGTTCAATAAGGTAACAGAATTAAGTCCCTTGATGATCGACTGGATGCAGGAGAATGTGTGATAGCATCCTCGTCCTGTGTTTCAGGCTCTACAGAAGCTGTTGGAAATGGGCTTCAGTGAACAGGAGGCGACGGATGCACTCCGAGTGTCTAGGAATGACCAGGATGCAGCTGTAAGTTCACTTTCATCTCAATATTCCAGGATCCTGTGAAGATCCGGGTTAGAAGGGGTCTCCAGCAACCCATGTTTGTTGAAAGAGGAGACTTTGCTTGTCATAAGAGGCGACTAACGGGTGGTCAGACTCACTGACTTTGTTTGATGCATGTCATCGTGTCCCGTTTGCGTCATCTTCCCAAGAGAGTTAACTGACTATAAAAGCCCAGTATCCACCCTTCCTTACCAGGCTGGTATTATGGAGATACATTTTGGCTGGACTAACGAGTTTATGCATAGTCCAATCAAAATCGCTCACCGAAATCGAAATCCGGTTCGTAAAGTGTCATGCAGATTTTGGTCAACTGCGGGATTTGCAAAGCATGTGCACCGCTAACTCGTTGTCAACAGATATTTTCTAAATCTTTTCATGTTTTTAATCAAGGTGCTCACGTGATCTGATGCACTTCGCAATGTAAGACTCGTTTTATCACAATATAGATCTTGATTATCGATCAGACCGTCTTGACTGGGCGCCACCATTTTGTTTGAAGCAAATGCAAGTGATATGAGAGGTTGAATCTGATTGGTCAATATGAGAGGCATAGAAAGGTCATAGTTCGTAATAGCCACTGGTGGCGCTACGATCGAGCCCAGGAATTCCAGCCTAGTTCGGCAAGGGTGGAAACTGGACTTTTAAAGTCAGTTTACTCTCTTGCCTCGGGAAGATGGGGTGTCTCCTGCACCTCAGGTGTCTGTAGTGTTAGCCTGTTCTTTGATTGTCCCAGGATCTGGTGATTATGAATTTGAGGGTTTGAATCCCAGATTCTCCCCAATTATGATCCCTGGTTTGTTAGCACCAACCCATACCCTTTTCACACCCAAACATAAGGGATGTCACAATGCAGGTGTCGCACACTATTTGTTATGATGTCTTACGGTGTTTCTGCTATCCTCATATGAGACTGTATACGGCAACTAAAGACACCCAACAAATTTATTATGCCGAAAAGTTTCCACTGTGGTATCTATGTCGCACTACTCTTCTAAACTTAGTACACTGACCTTAGGCGTGAAAGGGAGACTATTCTTCAAACCTTAGAGGGGGGCACGGGTGGCCCAGTTGTCTAAGGCGCCACAATTAGCTGTGCAGAGTTGCGTCCCTTGGGCACGCCAGAAACCTATGATTGTGGGTTCGAATCCCGGTTCGCCCCGATTATGTTTCTAGATTTGTCAGCACCATACCCGTGCTCGTGGGTTTCATCGAAGTGGTAAACATCTAAGACCTGCATCACTTGGGGCTTTCCTCCCACATTAAGCTGACACGTCGCGATATAACTGTAATACTGTTAAAAGTGGCGTTAAGCCCAACTCACTCACACACCAGTGTCTGAAATGTCGATTCCCAAGTTGAAACAATCTCACTCACTCACTCAAACCTTAGAGGACAAACCTTGTTGACAGTTTTAAAATAATCTTTATCAATAAAGTCATGAACGTGATTAAAAAAGATTAATGTCCTTGCATATCACAATTGATTATGAACAAACACAAAACAGTGTTGAATATCGACTTTCTGTAGCAGAATTTTCATGTGAAATATGTGAAATGGGTGTTGGAAAATCCAAGATGGTTGTCACTGATGGTTTACAATCTCATATTAGGTCAGTAACAATCATGTTGGATTTTTACTGATGGTATACAGCAGGGCTCCGGAAAATTTAAAATCCCAATCGGACATTTGCATTTAGGCCACGCCCCCTTCAAATAGCGTATTTTAGTACGACTTTTCACACACATTACAAGTTTACGTATTCATAATATGATGAATTATGAATTGTTTCAATTTAAATTGTTTAATTCACCGGACAATTAATAACAAATAATATCATTTTAGATTTACATGGAAAACATACGTTTGTTTCTGTTATAATAACGATCTGTTAACGTAGTGAACGGTCTAATTAATATTCATAAGTTATATTCATGAGTCTGCTCAAGTGTACGCGTTGTAACATTTGGATCGAGACTATTATCCCATATTTGGTTATCACGTGACCTCACGGGAAAAGCATTTTTTTAAACTAAAGATTTTTTTAAAAACAAGATAGATAATTTAATCACAAATACTAAAATATCGTTGATAGCAATAGTTATTTGAATACTTTTTTCATCTGTACTTAATTATTGACCATAAAAAAATTGGATATCGATCGTCCGAGAAAGCAAAATGGCGGTCAATCAAGATTCAATATACGACTAGCTACTGAAAACAATAAATTCTGCAAATCCTCATTGTATGTCAACCAAGTGAAAGTCGTTAGCCACGACTTACAAAATGATCGTCCAGACTCGACTGATCTGCATCGGTCGACTGGCTGTCGTCACGCTTTCGCTTCTTGTCTGAGGTTACGTATCGTAGCATTGTTAGGATAATGAGGTACATCGATGATGCAAGGTATTAATGTACAGTTGTAAACACCTTTCACTCAAATTAACAAGATGTTCTCAGTAATTAATCCTCGATTAATCAGTGTCAACTCAGTTTATTGCCTATTACAGTGATTGACCGATTGGACTATCATGTAGGTACGATGTATTTTCAGCAATCAAAACAAACAAAGCTTGTCAGTGTAGTTAATCTTCATTGTGTTGCAACTGCAGACAGAAACTGCTCAGTCCTAACTGTTGATCATGTCCGGTCAAAATATAAGAATGTCCGGACAATACTTTTTAAAATGTCCGGTAAGCAATATTTTAAAACGGACATTTGAGATTCCCAATCGGACATGACCGGCGCATATGACGGTTTCCGCACCCCTGGTATACAGGCTCATGTGGGGTCAGTAGTTCTGCTCTCTGATTAGTCAATCACACCTTGAGGCACAATAAAATACAATACATATCTAGACAGAAGCCACGATTCGATTCACGATACTGCATGTACGATTTAATGAGGAAAATCTCTGTCAGTAGTCCATAGCCTCGCTCATTAAGGTAACGAAGGACAACTGACAACTCACCAATAATACCCATCAACATGACACTGAGGCAAGTCAACTATCCTGTATGAGAAAATAATAGTAAACAAACAAGTTTACATACTGTATTAAGACAGGCAGTAAGGAAAAGCTGGTCAATCTTAACGGGCCGGTTTCATATCCCAAAGACAACCAAGAAAGATATGAGGAATTAAAAAATTAGTTTGTATTTGAAATAGGGGCGCTTATTAGATTATAATTTTGGTGAAAAAAAACAGAATTTAATATCAGCAAATATAGCCGTGGGCGCTTATTAGAGCTGGGCACTTATTGGGTCACATACGGTACTGTGGTACTGTAAACTAAAATACTGTTGGTCGGTGTTATGAAAGTCCAGTACTTTCAGGAGTTTCAACCCTTGCCGAACTAGCCTGTAATTATGGAGTTATGTTTTGGCTGGACTGACGAGTTCGTGCAGATTTCGGTCTATTGCAGGATTTGCAAAACATGTTTTCATATTTTTTATCAAGGTGCTCAAGTGATTTGAGGCACTTCACGAAGTAAGACTCTTTTCATTACAGTACAGATTTTGCTTATTGATCAGATCGTCTTGTCTGGGCACCGCCATTTTGTTTGAAGCAAATGGAAGTGATGTGAGAGTAGGAATCTGATTGGTCAATAGAAGGGACATAACTCATAATCACCACTGGTGGCACTACCATTGAATCCAGACATACCAGCCTAGTTCGGCAAGGGTGGAAACTTAACTTTTACAGTCAGTTAACTCCCTTGCCTCAGGAAGATGGGGTTAGAACCACTTACTCACTTTACAACTTTTATCATCATCAGTGTGAATGGCTCCTTGGTGACCGGCAGACCCGCCCGGAGACGGTGGACGATGGACTGGACCCTGACAGTCCTGTCTACAAGGCAATACTCGCCAACCCAACTGTCCAGCTGGGCCTCAATAACCCTCGATGTTTACTGGGTGAGTTCTAGAAGTAGTACAAATTACACCCTGACATTCCTGCAGTACCGTACCCCCTCATTCCTTCATCGTTTAATGTCAGGTTTTCTAAATGTCACTACTGGGGCTGTGGATTGTCCTGTTAGAAAAGCAACAAAGTGGGCTGTAGGATTGTCTTCCAATACCAATCTCTACCTTCATCGATTCCTCCAAATTTACACAGTAAACTACAGTTATAACGAAAACAAGGGACCACTAATTTTAGTTCGTAATAACCCGTAGTTTGTTAAAAGCATATATATACAGCATATATACAACAAATGTCCGGGACTAAAAAATTAGTTCGTTATATCGATCAGTTCGTTATATCGGTCAGTTCGTTATAAGCGTGTTTGTTATAAACATAGTTTACTGTATACGTTTCTTCATCTGCCTTTAACCCAAATCCACTTTCTTATGAAATATTGTTAATGATGGTGAATAGTTCAGCTTAATGATAAGTCGTGGATCATATTTTTCTTTTTTTGACTTCTCCAGAAAGCACACTTTCATTCATTTAGATAACCTAAAAACACTGACATGACCTTGTTGTGTTTCAGCTTTCCTTCAGATGCTTGAGTCCCCTATGTCAGCCAATCAGTGGCTCAACGATTCAGAGACAGGGCCAATCCTTATCCAGATATCGAGAATATATCACGCCGAGAAAAACTCGAAACCTCGCAACATCCAAAGTGCGGTTGCAAGCTGACGAATACAGAGGGCTTCCTTTGTAATAATTTATTTATGCAATATGAAAGTTGTTTTTCTGTGTATGTGTATGCTTTTAGGAGATGATTGTTACGACTTTATACCAAGTGTTTGTAAGGCTAAAAAATATAATAGCCTTGGTTCTCAGGCACTGCTTACGTCATCATAAAGTCCACTGCACGTTTTGTTTTTATTTCCATTTAGAGAAAAGAAAAATTCTTTCTTTTCTGCATCTCGAACGCACGACACCCCTAAAAAAAATCCTTAAGTATTCCGGGTCTCAAATACATGAAATACCTATGCTACCATACCTAAAAACAATGTGATCCAATATAGTGTGCAGTTACTTCCCTGCACTGCACATCTCGTGTTATGGTCATGGCGGCAATAGGAGTTTGTGTGCTTGTTTTGCTGTTTGCAAATTTGGTAAATTAAAACATGAAATTTATGATAAAACATCATCAGTCATGATGATTTTCGAATTCAATGGCATTTGTGTACTGTATGCCAGACAATATTTTATACACAGAGATTAAGATAACATGTGTATTTGTCTTGTAAAATAAGCCGGAAATAGCAATCAGCTCTTCACACATTTTCTCCTCGATCTATGGTTGATTTAGTTTAGGAAATAATGTCATGGCCAATAAGAAATTCAATACAATGATAGGAAGTCTGAAGACTTTGTATTTCTAACGACTAATGTTGTGAGTTCATGGTGAGTTGTGATTTGCTGATCATTTCATAAATGATTTCGCTGAAATTAATGTAAATAAAATTGAATAAAATCTTTGATAATAGTAATATAATAGATAACAAACGTAAGTCCAGATACACAATGAACACTTTTATAGCCAGACAGTGTAGTAACAGGACTAACTTGCGTACTTCAGTACGGATTTGTTGGCATGCTTCTTCCGGTGTTGTGTGTTCACTGTAAAGTCTTCACGTTGTGATATAAAATCAAAGCTCATTGTATGCATGAATTATGCACACACTGATGTTAAACAGTGGTCAAATACTGTATGCCAGTATTTTACTCATCAAGGAATACGTATATGTGGGGAGGCCCTTTCTCAGGTTGATTGTACACAACTGTTTATTTGGTAACATGCAAGTCTAAAAACCATCATCCGCTCCATGATATTTTCCAAAGCCATTGCCTGAGAACCAATTCTTTTATTTTGTAAGCCTAAAGTAATTGCACATACTCGGCTTTTTTAAATTGAGTGATTGTTTCTCCGGCATTAAGGGACTGACCATGTGATATTCTTGGAGGGTCCCTAAATCACTAACCAATCACTTATCTGGTCCAGGCTTCATTATTAACGGCCATATAGCTGGGGGGCGGTGGGGTAGCCTTATGGTTGAAGCTTTCGCTTGTCACGCCGAAAACCCCGGGTTCAATTCCTGACATGGGTACAATGTGTGAAGCCCATTTATAGTGTCCCCTGTGGTATTGCTGGAATATTGCTAAAAGCGGCGTAAAACAAATTCACTCACTCACTCATATAGCTGGAATATTGCTGAGTGACAAAACTACAAACAATTTGAGTCAGGGAGGTATGATATCATTTAATGAGATTGAGAACAAGGGTTAGGATTTCTTTAAATGGCATTTAGAAGTTATACAGACAGAATTTATGGATGTCAACTTCTTCAGCACGAAGAAAACAATGTTTCGGTAAATACTTACTCCTTTATCAGGTGAAATATACTCCGAAACATTGTCATAATAAAGAAGTTGACATCAATACATTTTCTTCCTCACTTTGAGGTCATGAAAGATGAAACACCTCTTCCCGAGGCAAGGGAGTTAACTGACTTTAAAAGTCCAGTTTCCACTCGAACTAGGTTGGAATTCCTGGGCTCGATCGTAGCACCACTAGTGGTTTTACGAGTTACGTCCCTTCTAAGGCTATCCTTTGGACCAATCAGATTCGTATCACTTGCATTTGTTTCAAACAAAATGGCACGGCCAGTCAAGACGATCTGATCGATAATAAAGACCTATGTTGTGATAAACGGGTCTTACATCGTGAAGTGCATCAAATCACCTGAGCACCTTGATCAAAAACATGAAAAGACTTGGAAAAATAACTGTTGACAACGAGTTGGCGGTGCACATGCTTTGCAAATCCTGCAATCGACCGAAATCTGCACCACAGTTTACAAACCGGATTTCCATTTATTTGCGCGATTTTGATTGGACTATGCAAAGACTCGTTAGTCCAGCCAAAATGTAACTCCATAATACCAGTCTAGTTCGGCAAGAGTGGAAACTGGACATTTATAGTCAGTTAACTCTTACCTCGGGAAGATTGATGAAACATAACCGATAGTGTTTGTGCCTTGAACAAGTAAGCTGTGAAGAGGAGGAACTAGTGTTTGCATAACTTGTCCTATGTATTTCGCATCGAGAGAGGGGAGCACAGGTGGCCCAGTCATCTAAGGCGCCACGATTCACTATGCAGAGTTGGGTCCCTTGGGCACACCAGAAACCTATGATTGTGGGTTCGAATCCCGGTTCACTCCGAATAGGTTTCTTAGCACCATACTCGTGGATTTCACCGAAGTGGTAAACGTCTGAGACCTGCATCATTTGGGGCTTTCCTCCCACATTAAACTGACACGCCCCTATATAACTGGAATACTTTAAATACAGCGTTAAACCCAACTCTCTCATCGAGAGAGCCTTATCCCGAGAAGAACACCTTGTTCTCAGTGAAAAGGAACTGTTCCAGCTGTCGCTACCTTGTTGAAATAAATACAGGTAGAGGGTTGGGTGTCCCATTATACCCAGAGAAACAAAAGGTTGACGACATGCTACAACGGTTTCAGCATCCTGTTAACTTTATTTTGAATGATTTGCGATTTTCCAATTTGTAGTGCCTGGTACCAAGGATACATTTGGGTTAATGTTCCATTTATTTTGTCGAAAGAAGCTCTCATATCTGTTGGGAGTCCACATTAAGTAATCATGTCACTGATTGCAGACAAGAATCTGTAGGCATTTCGTTGTTTGTTGAAGGTTGTGTGAGCTATGTAGAGATTCTTGTACAGAACTTGTATTGTGGGAAAGAAAGTGAATGAAATAAACGCATCAGTTCTTTTTGTTGATGGTCTTGTTTCCTAATGAAGTTGACGCAAGCCTGTTATGGGATACTAGGCTTAGCTCTGTGTTCCTCACAGACAATCATTGGAAGATTAGGCCTCCAGGATCCAATGCTTCTGGAAACAACCCAGTGGTTACAATGTGTGCTGCTGGGGTTCATCAGTGTTCCTGCTATCACACCCTGGCTGGACTGACCAAAGCTGCAGTATTTACCATGTTTACAAGACACTTGGATGTCGCAGGTTTACTGCTGACTGTCGTGTACTACATGTTGTATACTTTCACTATTTTATACCTTGAACGATCTTCATTTAGTGTGTGGGGCCCGATTGGCCCAGGCGGCGCGATTCGCTGTGCAGAGTTGCGTCCCTTGGGCACGCCAGAAACCTATGATTGTGGGTTCGAATCCCGGTTCGCCCCGATTATGTTTCTAGTTTTGTCAGCACCATACCCGTGCTCGTGGGTTTCACCGAAGTGGTAAACGTCTGAGACCTGCATCACTTGGGGCTTTCCTCCCACATTAAGCTGACACGTCGCGATATAACTGGAATACTGTTAAAAGCGGCGTTAAACCCAACTCACTCACTCACTCATTTAGTGTGTGTGACATCCATACAACAACCATCTGCAACATGGAATCAAACAGTTCCTCAAAAGGAGAGGTGATATGAGCGAATGTTTGCTCTAACGTCTCTACAATAACATCTTTTTCGTTTGGTTACAACCAACAGATTAAGAAAATAAATCCTGTCACACAATGGTGTTCAGCCGTGAGTTCACACAGCCAGTAGTAAGGGTGTCCACCCTGAACATTGATACATTGATGGTACTTGTTCCACCTTTCCAAAGCTCAACACTGAAACAGCGACTAGTCAGCCCGCAGTCCGCAGTCATGTCTGAGTAGGGTATTCATGGTAAACCGTGACGACATATCTCAGTGGGCTAGAACTTTAAAACGGGCACAAGTCCGAACTAGTACAAGCACCACGCACACAGGTACATCCATGTCGTGCAAGTATCTTGAACACGGTTATTATAGCAGAAATCAAGTCTTGATACTCCCAATTGATGTTTATTGTCCGTTATTCGTTGACAATAATAAGTGAAAAGCTCATTCGTTTGTATCCGTATACATGCTTTTCCTTTGAACGTTAGCGTTGAATGAACAGTGTTGAGGTTCAAGAAACTAGAAAATAACAAGAAAATGTGCTAAGTTACAGTGTAAACAGTGAATTGGCTAAGTTGTTACAAATACAAAATTCTACAAATATTATATCATTTGAAGATAAATGATAGCTTCAACATTACTTTAGATGTACACACATTGTATAAATATGAATAAGCAGGTTAAAAACTTACATCTGTGTTCTGCAATAGTTCATGACATGTTTCTCCAACATGGAGACCTTTCAAACTGAAGGTGACAGTGGATGAGGTCACATGACTAATCCCATGATGCAACACAACTGATTATAAGTCACAAAAACTTTTGCCTGAACCTGGGATTGAACCCTGGACCTTTATCCTGCTAATCCAGTGACATAACCAACAGACCATTGTTAAGGCTGATATCTGTACATGAAATTCATAACATTTTTGCATAACAGATTTGCAACATAAATTATACATTCTGCACTAACACACTCGGCCTCTTAAACAGATGGGATGTTTAACACAAATATAACAAACAGTGCAGAAATCACAAGCTTGTATATACAGACACACTGGGTTTTGACTGATGGCTAAATTTGACAAAATCACGACTTGCTGGATAACAGCAATATAAGCTTGCTGATCGGTCGACGAAATTCACCAGTTTGAGTTTTCAGTACAGCACTCCTGACAAAACCCTTCTGATCAGGTTCAACCGACTTAACACGAGCCATGGGCCACTGAAGTCTCGGTAAACTGTCATCCATTATCAGGACAATGTCATCCACTTGGATATTCCGTTTTGGGATCGTCCATTTTTGCCGTTGCTGCAGTGACACCAAATACTCCTTTCTCCATCTGGACCAAAAGACATTGGCCAAATATTGGATCCGTCTCCACCTTTTCCGCATGTATACATCATTCTTCTGGAATTGGCCAGGAGGTGGAACAGACACGCTTGTTTTCATCTGTAGGATATGATTTGGAGTAAGTGAACATAGGTCATCAGGACTGTCAGATACTGTGGTTAGTGGCCGAAAATTGACAATTGCCTCAACTTCGCACATTAAAGTTCGGAACGATTCATCATCCAAGCGTTCATTGAAATCGTGCAAGAGAGAAGTCAGGGTTTTTCAAACTGTTCTGATCATCCGTTCCCAAATGCCACCCATGTGACTGGCTGATGGAGGGTTAAAGTTCCATTTGATGCTACTTTTCAACAGGTCGGATTTGATACTATCTTGATCCATTTCTGACACAGCCTTCTGTAGTTCTCGTGATGCGCCCGTGAAGTTGGTGCCATTGTCACACCATATCTCTGAGACTTGTCCTCTACGTGCTATGAAGCGTCTTAGGGCATGAATAAAAGAGTCAGTGTCAAGTGAATTTGCCGTTTCAATATGCACTGCTCGGCTAACTAAGCACGTGAAGAGTGCCCCATAGCGTTTTACGTACTTGCGTCCATCTTTGATAACGAAGGGTCCGTAAAAATCCACACCGGTGAAGGTAAAGGGTGGAGCAGGATTGACTCTCCTAGATGGCAAGTCAGCCATTTTCTGATCACATGTTGAACCACGCAGACGTCGGCAGGTAACACAGTGTGACAAGACGTTGCGGACAGCAGAGTTAGCCTTAATAATCCAGTAGGTTTCTCTCAGCATGGAAAGTACATGGTTACGTCCTGCATGGGCTAGCTTTATGTGCTGGTCTGTAAATAATCAGTGACGTCACGTGACTTCTGTAAGGAAGTATAACTGGGTGCTTCATCTCCTTGGGGATATTAGCTTTGCCAATGCGACCCCCGACTTTGAGAATTCCACTTTCAAGGAATGGGTCAAGGTTATACACTGAACTTGTCCTTGGAACTCGGCCTCGTGTACCTTCACATCCTTGAAGCAGTTCAAACTCTTTGTTGAAGTGTATTTTCTGCACAAATTGAAGAATACTCTTCTCTGCTCGACTGAGGTCCTCCACAGAAAGCGATATGTTGTTTTTAGCATGCTTCTTATTTTTGTATTGATGCTCATCGCTCCGTGACTTGAGTGAGTCAAACAATCTGTGATATATGGCTACCGCACGCTTCAGACGATACCAGCTGGAGTAATGTTCCAACAATTTATTCACAGTGTTGTGAGAGCAGTCATCCTGTGAAGCATCGGTTGCTATGACTGTTTCTTCATGCATCTTCTCATCATGGATAAGATGTGGCTGTACTGGCCATTCTGATTCTGAAGAAGAAAGAAATTTGGGCCCATGAAACCAGTTCATACAGGTAAGCAGATGTGATGTAGATACACCTCTGGATGCAACATCAGCCGGATTGCTTTTTGAATCTACATACTTCCACTGAGTAGGTTCTGAAAAGTCTCTGATTTGCTTGACACGGTTGGCAACGGAGATTGGAAACCTCTTTGTTTCATTGCTGATATAGTGTAACACCGTCGTTGAGTCTGTGTGGTAGGTGACACTTTCAGGTGTAGTCTCCAGTTCCTTCATTAACAGTTGTCCGATGTGAATAGACACGGTGGCTGCAGTTAATTCCAACCTGGGAACAGTGATAGTTTTCACTGGAGCAGGCCTAGACTTTCCAATCAAGAAAGCTGTGTGAATACCGCCTTCTTCGTTAGACATACGTAGATATGCTACACAACCGTATCCAACAGTGCTTGCATCAGAGAATACATGTAGTTGAACAGAAATAACATGTCCAAAATCAGCAGGTTTGAGACATCTGTCAATCCGTAGTGTACTCAAATGCTGAAGCTCTTCTATCCACTGCTCCCATGATGCCTTGTATTCCACAGGTATGTCATCATCCCATCCGAGCTGCTTGTTGATGCACAGATCGTGTAACATCTTCTTGGCTGGTAACAAAACTGGTGCAACAATTCCTAAAGGATCATAGAGTGACGACATCGTAGACAAGAGTCCTCTTCGTGTGAATGGCTTACTCTTCAGGTGAACTGAGAATCCAAAAACATCACCGTTGATATGCCACTGCATCCCTAGAGCACGTTCAACAGGCAGTTCGTCATAGTCTAAATCACGTGTTTGGAGTTCTTTTGAGTGATGTTCCTGTGGTATGGATCTGAGAAGATTGCGACTGTTAGCTGTGAACTTAGTAAGCTTGAAGCCACCTTCTGCACATGATTTCTGCAAAGAGTCCATTAAGTCAATAGCTGCCTCTTCCGTGCATTCCGATTTGAGACAATCATCAACATAAAAATTGTTGCAGATTGTGTCAGCAGCAAGGCTTCCATATTTCTCTTCAGCTTTCTTTGCAGCAGCTTTGAGAGCAAAGTTGGATATGCTGGGGGAAGAAACTGCTCCAAAAATGTGAACAGCCATCCTATACTCATGTAGCTCCGAGTTCAAGTCACCATTTGGCCACCACAGGAAGCGTAACAGATCATGTTGTTGAGGAGGAACACGAACTTGATAAAACATGGCTTCAATATCAGCCATGAAGGCAACTGGTTCATTTCTGAATTTGGTAAGAACACCTATCAGGGAGTTCGTGAGATCAGGTCCTTGCAAGAGTCTGTCATTTAAAGAAAACCCTTCAAACTTTGCTTTGCAGTCAAATACTACGCGGATTTTTGAAGGCTTCTTCGGATGGTATACACCATGGTGTGGCAGATACCAAACCTTTCCTGGTACAGGTGCTAGCTCATCACTTGGGACCTTGTAGGCATATCCATTGGAAAGCAGACTATCCATAAAGGCAGTATAATGTTCATGATACTCATCATCATGTAGCATTTTCTTCCTTTGCCACATTGCTCTCTTCTCGGCTTGTTCTCTGTTGTTGGAAAAATCAATGTCTGGATCCCTGAGTGGTAATGGCAATTCAAAGTGGCCGTTAACTTCCGCGATGCCTTTATTTGCCATGTCGATAAACTGATCATCCTCTCTAGAGAAACCACGTTCACCAGGTAATATTCCAGTGTCCTTGAGATTAAAATCCATTTCAAACATATTCAGTATCACATCAGTGAGACATTCTTTTGCCCAGGTGAGTTCTTGGAAGAGCACACGATTGCATGTGAGTGTATTATCAACTGGGTTGAACTTGATATAAAGCGGCCCACTGACAGTCCATCCATGTCTGTAGAGTACGGCGAAAGGACCTTCACCTTGAGATGGAATCACTTGCTGAGGTTGAAGTGCAAGAGGACAGTTACTCCCAATAAGAAGACCAATATCCAGATGAGGTAGGTATTTGGGCAACTTGTCAGCCATAGCACACAGATGAGGCCATTTCTTCAGAATGTCAGGATTGGGAATCTGACTATGACTTACAGGTATCTCCTCTCGAGTGAAAGTTCTTGGAAGCGTCACTGCATTATCACCATTGAGATCTGACACAACAAGACCTTCCACAACATGCGTACTCACAACATGAAGTCCGTGCATAGTCCGAAGTTTCAGTGAAGATGCTGTAGATGTAGTCTCAAGTCGCTGTCTAAAATCCTCCGTTATAAAGCAGCCAGTACTCCTGTTGTCAAGTAGTGCATAGATCTTCACCAGCTTGTCACTTCCCTTTTGTTGAATCAGAACTGGAAGAATCGCTTGGAGCACAGTATCTGAAATAACAGGTTCAATGTTGTTGCATGAAGATAGAGAGATACAAGAGAATCACAAGCTTCAGAAGAGTTCTGTTCTACGTTCTTACTTGCAGAACGGAAGTTCTCATCATGCAGTATTGTTGGATGACACTTTCCACACTTCTTACAGCTTCGTTTCTTCATACAGCCCTTTACCATGTGATTGAATCCAAAACATCCAAAGCACATTTTCTTCTCTTAAAGATATGTCCTCCGTTCACTGAGAGATTTCTGACAAAACTGTTTGCAGGATTCAATGTCATGAGGTCCTCTGCAGAAGTAGCACGAAACACTTCGGTATTTATCCTGCTTGTGGTTCGAACTGTCTACACCAGTCACGAAACTACTTGACTTGGCTCCATCTTTCTTTGAACTCTTGCCTTGTTTGGATCCCCAGTGAACTTGGCTCTTGGATATAGCTTCCTTTCCAAACACAGGCTCATTAGCAGATCTAGAAGCAAACTCAATGAAATGCACAAGATCTTCAAAGTCAACAGGCCTGTTGCTATGAAGTTGTGCTCTGGTAACATGATCATGCCATTTATTTTGTAGATGCACTGGCAACTTCAACACAACTGCTTGCAAGTTAACAGAATGATTAAGAACAGTCATGTGTGACATAGTCTTCATTGCATGAAAACACTTGATGAGGAAGTGAGAGAATTGTTTAAGTCCATGACAATCATCATGCTTGATCTGAGGCCATGATAGAACTTGATTAACATAGGCAGTTGAAACTTTGTATGGGTTACCATACTCACTACTCAACAGGTCCCTGGCCTTAGTGTAGCCTTCCTCTGGATCCATGTAGAGACATCCAGCAATCAAGTCCTTTGGTTCTCCCTCAAGCTGCTGTTCCAGGTAGTAGAGTCGATCTATAGAGCTGCTAGCATGAGGAACTATACGGGCATCAAAAGACATGATAAATGCACCATATTCTGTAGGGTCACCTTAAACTTTGGAACCTTAGGCTGAGGTAACAACATAGCTGTTGCCATCTGTCTATGAGCTTGCAAAATCAGTTCATTCTGGTCATGTAAATGTTTGGATGTATCTTCTGTCCTAGAGTTTTCCATACCAGGATACTTTGAAAAGGATGGTTGAAAGTCAGAAGCATTAGGGTTAAGCCCTTTCTGATGCTCATTATCGTCCAAAGTTTCATGTTTGAATACAAGATGAGGTCTTTTGTCAAAAGGTTTCAAAATGGGGTTACCACTTTGAACAATACTGGCATTTGACAACTGTAGCTTAAAATCGGCACTATATGAACTACCTACTTCAAGATATTCGGGCATGTTGCCAGGAGATCTTAGCATATCAGGCACAGTAGCTTTGACATCAGGCATAGAAGGCTTGACATCAATCATGGAAGGCTTGACATCAGGCATGATAGGATTGACACTAGGTCTTGATGCTACAGAGATCCTTTTATCATGATCAACTAAAGTGTCAGAAACATAAGGATTACACTCCACCACACCAGACGTATAAGTTCTTGTGTCTGCTTGTGAATCAGCATAGACTTTCTCACGTGCCTGAGATTTAGCAATTTTAATGTCTAACTTCAAAGATTGCAATTTCTTAGACTCTTCAAGTAATGACTTTTCAACTAAAAGTTCAGCCAACCTTGCACGCTCCTTTGTATATGCTGACCTGGTTGAACTCCTGGAATGTCTCGATGACTTGAAACTTTTTGATGACTTGAATTCCCTAGAAGACACACTTTCAAGGTGATCCGCCAGGACATTCTCCATGCGAGTAATCCAATTTTCTACTTCACTACGAAACTGTAGAATGGAAATCACCCTCTCCTGGTGACGCATCTGCTCTGAACTCTGCACATCCTCTGAAATAAGCTCTTCATAATAATTTGTGAAACATACAGAATACCTTTGACACAAGTCTTTAAATTCAACAAAGGTAAGCTTAACAACATGCAAATTGTCACTACTGCTACTGAACAAGAGTCTACTGAAAGTTCTGTTCTCTTCTTAGTAAGAGAAGAGACAACACCAGTCACTCTGGTTTTCAACAAACGAATCTGTTCAGCTTTCCCTTTCTCAGTAAGTGTCCTTTGACGACCAGAACCACTATCCTCCTGAATGTCATTACTCACTTCAGTACCTTGTCCAGTCTCAATCACACTTGCACCTTGAGCTAGCTGTTTCTGTTCTGTAGCAGTCTCATCACCACTATCTATCAGCATCCTTTCTTCTGTGTCTATGCCTCTGTTGTCATCTAGAGCGTTGTCGTTGGGCAATACACCCTTAGGATTCATGATGTTGTAACAATCACAAAACTTCAATGAAAATTCACAAAATTCAAAATCCAAAATATGTGCAGTCTACGTTCAACAGTCTACACAATGTCTTCCAAATCATTTAGATGCAGGGAAGATTTTCTTGAACTATATTATAGCAGAAATCAACAGTCTTGATACTCTCAATTGATGTTTATTGTCCGTTATTCGTTGACAATAATAAGTGAAAAGCTCATTCGTTTGTATCCGTATACATGCTTTTCCTTTGAACGTTAGCGTTGAATGAACAGTGTTGAGGTTCAAGAAACTAGAAAATAACAAGAAAATGTGCTAAGTTACAGTGTAAACAGTGAATTGTCTAAGTTGTTACAAATACAAAATTCTACAAATATTATATCATTTGAAGATAAATGATAGCTTCAACATTACTTTAGATGTACACACATTGTATAAATATGAATAAGCAGGTTAAAAACTTACATCTGTGTTCTGCAATAGTTCATGACATGTTTCTCCAACATGGAGACCTTTCAAACTGAAGGTGACAGTGGATGAGGTCACATGACTAATCCCATGATGCAACACAACTGATTATAAGTCACAAAAACTTTTGCCTGAACCTGGGATTGAACCCTGGACCTTTATCCTGCTAGTCCAGTGACATAACCAACAGACCATTGTTAAGGCTGATATCTGTACATGAAATTCATAACATTTTTGCATAACAGATTTGCAACATAAATTATACATTCTGCACTAACAACGGTGTTAAAGCGCAAGTAAAGTCAACATTTTAACTATGCAGAATTCAATAAATTAGGTATAATTTCAAATGGTTAACCAAAATTAAATTTGAAAAAAGGATAATAACAGGCAAAATTTTCAACTGAACGAAAAATTCCTCCCCTGAGGGGGAAACCCCTTCATGAAGGTTTGAACGAGTTTCCTGTTTTTGACAGTGTACAATTTCAACGATCTGGCCACGCCAAGTCCCCCTGGTGGTTTATTAGGGGTCTTCCTCATGCACCTATTGCAGGAATTTGGGTATGGGTATATTTGTGAGTGAGGTTGAGTGTGTGTGTGTGTGTGCGTGCGTGTATGTCTCGAGTGAGGGGGTGGGGGATATCTGAATGTGTTTGGGATTCTGTTTAGTATGTGCGGGAGAATATTAGAATGATTGATTGTGGACATGCGTGCGTGAGTGCGTATGTATATATGTGTGTATGCATGCATGCATTATGTGATTGTGTTAGTGAATATGTGTATATGTAGATATTAAGAATGTGCATGATTACTTTTTATATCTAATTGTATTTTAATATTTGTAATATCTTAAGGTGTCATTTCGGTGAGGCCTGGTGTTTGTATTTTAAGTATGTGCTAAATGTTGTATTGCTTTGGAACACATGACACTGTAATAAACTATATTATTATTATTATTATATTGTTATTATATTGTTATTATATTATTATTATATTGTTATTATATTGTTATTGGTACAAATTCACCCGAGTGTGGTGATGGTTGGGACAATAGGGGTTTAAGGAGCGCATCTCGCATGAGACAAGAAATTGGTGAATATTTCACGAAATATAACATCACAACAAATTGACAAACTCTGTTCAAATACACTGTACTGGGTGAAAACTTTTATAATATATATCAATGAGTCAGTAGTAGAGACGATGAGGGAACTGGACCACCCCAGGCCATGCCCTGACAATGCTTCCAAGGGCGTCTAAAGTTTTATTATTTATGTGATAAAGACCATTGGATCGTCATGTATCATGATGCCACCCTATATCGGGGAAACAATTTATTCTCAATCTCTGGTTTTGGCACGTTAGTTCTACTATTTTTTCCCCTTTAACTAATGCCATTGGTCTTACGAGAAATTGATTGAATCTCTTGCTTCATTGTGTTGTTTTTGGTAAGGTCTGATAACGCTAAACGAAACTCTTCAGATATCTTGCTGTTGGCCAGTCCTGCTGAGATATGATCCTCAATGCCATTTACCCAGCCGCGTCATACCAAAAGACCTTAAGTGATGGTACTTCTTGTTGCCCTGTCTGGCGCTCGGCATTAAGCGGCTAAAACAAGTACTGGTCGGCTCGGAGTCAGTACACTGTGTCTGAGTGGGGTATTCATGTTAAACTGCGGCTTGGTATCTCAGTGAGCTAGCACTATAAATCAGCATCAGCATCAGACTAGTACAAGCAGCTGCACATGCACAGAGCTACATAAGTGCAATAATCTTGGACGCTACATTAAAACCAATTTCACCTCATCTCAATGCTTTTTAACTTTGCTTCAGCCAGCACATGAATACTATCATGTTTCAATGCTTCCTTTTGCATCTGGCGAGAAATAAATGTAAGAGCTATTCCTCCAAGTCCAGAAACTCCTGCTGCTACTTCCATGCCAAGCATGGAGGAGCGATGATTATAGTTATTATAATAATAAACCAACACTGGCTACGCCAAGCTCCATGCTAGTTGCTATATATGCAGTGTCAACCCCATCAAGGCATTCACAGCAAAATCCAAATTCCAGAATTGCACTCTTTCTCTAGTTGATGTTTTATTTCACTTATTTGATGTAATCGAAATCTAACAGCAGTATCCATCTTTCTTGGATACTTCATCGAGTACAGAATAAAAATCCATAATGTACAATATTGTATTATTCAAGCATCTTTAATTGGCAAAATGACAATGCCTTGTGGTAGTCTCAAGGCATTGTCATTTAACCTCATTAGATGTATATTTAGGGCATGAATATGTAAGTGAGCAAAATGGTTCTTCGATGACTAACTTGATGTCACAATAAAAAATAAAAAATATATAAAGGAAGGGCGTTGGCCCGGACATGAGGATGATGATGATGATGATGATGGTGATTATTTAGTCGATATGATGTCCACTGATGATAAACAAGTGAAAATGACTGATAATCATAAATGACAGTGAAATAACATTTGAATAAAAAATTGTGAACTCTACCCAGCTTTCTTTCTTGTTACATGGGTGATACCATTTTACTTAAGGGTACAGGGTACTACATACTGATGCAACCAGCCATAACGAGTGTTGTTTTAACGGGTCTGCGTTTTGGCAGGTCTACGTTTTGGGAAGATACCCTCCCGGGTGCAATTCTCTCAGATGAAACCTGGATCCCCTCAAAGGTTATATCGATAAATGACCCTGGCCGTATAAAAATACAATGTTGGCATTCATTTAATCCCTAGGCCTAGAATTAATTGTGTGTTTTTTTTACCCTGTTCCCTGTTGATGGAAAGTGTGTCGTCTACTACCCCAGCTGGAGCCATCTGGTAACAATTAATTAACATCACAAGCTGGCGTGTAGCCCCGACAGCTGAATGCCCTGCTTTTTGAGTTCAAAGAAAACCCGTGTCTGTCGATACTCGTCGATAAATGTTAAAAATTCGTATTAAATCAAACATTGAAAAAAATATAACATGAATATAATTGAGGATAAAATTGAAACTTTTGTTTTGGGATGAAAGTACAAAAAAATACCCTTTAAAATACATGATTAGGGAATTTCAGAATCAATTGTTTCTTGTATTTATGCACGCCTTCATACAAACTGAAAAGTATACATATGTTTAAATACCTATATTTACATGCATGGCACAAAGATTAACATGAAATAATAATGTTGGTCATTTTGGTTAATTTCTACATTTCGTTGTTATTGGTATCTTTAGGATGTTGTAATTATGCACGGGTTCTGATCTTCTTTGACGTAGAATACATGAACTAGTTGAGTGACTTTCTGCCATCAATCAGCGTGAATGGATTACCCACACATATACCCACAATCCTTTGTCAAAGAGAAAGAAAGGATATTAAATCCTATAAATATCATATCCACCTGGTACTAAAAGTTCACTATCAATCTCCTCTGATAACAAACTGTTACCCTTGATATCCACAAGCAACAATACTCAGTATGCTCATGGAGTAATTGTCAAAATCGGAAACCCGAAAGATATCCTGTCTACATGGTCACAGACGATGATGTTCAGATCTACACTCAACCAACATGGCAGTCTGTATTCATTTCTTATATACCTAAAGTTCCCCATCAAACTTCCTCTTATTAATTCTTACAAACAAAAAAAACAGAAAAAAGTGGGATTTTGGGACTGTGAATAGGAAATTGTTCATGATCCTAACATATGTTTTATTCAGTAAATGAATCTGGATTGGTAAATATTGCTCCAGAGACAAAATATTATTTATCAAGTAATAGTGATATGTATTGGTTAATATTATTGCTACCTCAGTTTGAAGGCCTGTCCTCATCTGGCATACACCTCATATCGCCTACACTACTATCAAATAAAATTTATGGATGAGTGCACATCACACTTTATACACTCGAGGCAGACATTTGGTAAAAGGGTAGATTTGGTACTAATTTGGTATTTGGTATTAATACTTTGTTTACATGCTTGTTCTTTTGAACTCTTTTGTTACACCGACGGTGGTTTGGAGAATAATAAACTGAAACTGAAACTGGCAGATTTGGTAAGTCGGCCTCAGGTGAAACTAACAAGGCAAGTAATTACATACGGATTTTGGTAACAAAGGACCAAACCAATTGAAACTTGCGTTAAATAAACATACTCCCACTTCACGCTCGGCTGTGAAACAACATAATCATTGGCAATCATATGGAGAAGATATCTGATCATCTCTTATGGAAGAACTTTTTTTATTATTAAATAAGACAACAAACACGATTCTACACCAGAGAAGCATTTACTCGTTCGTTATAATTCAACATACATCATAATGAAAGTCATCCATCACTATCATTAAAAGACATAACACATTAGGTGAGGTGAAATGGGGATTAACGTCGCGTCCAAGATTATTGATTATTCGCCGTTTTACACTCACTCAGAAGAAAGCCAGATCAAATCTTTTTAACAGTTACACCACATCACACCTGTACACATGGGCACATATTAGAGATAAAGTCCAGATGTGTGTTTGGTATACAGGTTTCTATATATGGGTACATGTACCGCGCCTGCTACTAAATGCACAAGAGTCATCAGAAAGATGACATATCCCCCCGGCTGGTGTCTGTAAAGTAACCACAAGTAAACGTGCAATTCTGTATGTAATGAGTCGAGAGCTGAATGTTCTTTAAGAAGCATACATTGTTTACCCACAAAAGATCCACCATGGTGACATCCATATGAAATGGAAAGTAAAACAAGTGTGTTTCTGTGGGTTATTTTTATGCAAACAAATGACAAATTACAAGAAATAATAACTAAACAAGCGTATAGTCAACAAAGTCATCTATATCCCCCGCCCATTTTAACACGTTATGGTCCCAAACCAGGTAACTGACCCAACATTTCCCTTAGACCATGTCAAAATAGCTGCAATGGAAATTCTAAAGTAAACATTTCTAAAACTCCTTAATATCAAATGGCACCAGTTCAGTATGTGCTTTATATACAGACATGCAATGTTTGGCAAGGAAATATTTAACAGTGTATTTGTTATACTCCATAAGTTAACCCACCCTATATTAAAACCTAAGTCCAACTTGTTGCCATGGAAACGTAAAAAATAAAAACAAATAAAATTCCTTAATAGCAAAAGGCACCAGTTCAGTATGTGCCTCGTAGACATGCAAAGTTTTGTAAGAAAGTATTGAACGGTTTTTGAGTTACGCTCCGGAAACGAACACCACCCTTATAGAACCTAAGTCCGACTTGTTGCCATGAAAACGTAAAAAATAAAAAATAATAAAATTCCTTAATAGCAAAAGGCACCAGTTAATTATGTGCTAGGTAGACATGCAAAGTTTTGTAAGAAAGTATTTAAAGGCTTTTGAGTTACGCTCCGGAAATGAACACCACTCTTATAGAACCTAAGTCCAACTTGTTGCCATGGAAACGTAAAAATAAAAATTTATAAACTTCCCAAATAGCAAAAGGCACAATTTCAGTATGTGACTGATAGATTTGCCAAGTTTTGATCAAATACACTGAATTGTTTTCGAGTTATGCCCCGGAAAGGGAAATGATTACGGACGGACAGACGGACGGATTATATGCATTATATGCCGGGGGGGGGGGGCATGAGATAAAGGGCATGAGAGGGTGAGTGAGTGGGTGAGCGAGTGAGTGGGTGAGTGAATGGGTGAATAAAACGTAACTTTGTAACGTCTTTGAAAGTTTGTTAGTTCATGTGAAATGTGGTATAACGCGGTCAATTGTTGACCTAATATAGCGATGTGCTTGCACGTGTGTGTGTGTGTGTGTGTGTGTGTGTGTGTGTGTGTGTGTGTGTGTGTGTGTGTGTGTGTGTGTTTTTATAATTTCTAAGGGAGACGCATCTGCACAGGTGTGTTTGTTTGTTTGTTTTCTCGTTGTTTAACGCCGCACTCAGCAATATTCCAGCTATATGACGGCGGTCTGTAAATAATCGAGTCTGGACCAGACAATCCAATGACTGACATCGTGAGCATCTATCCACGCAATTGGGATCGATGACATGCATCAACAAAGTTAGCGAGCCTGACCACCCGATGCTGCACAGGTAGAAGTATTGAATCAGGCAAGGCAAACAGGGCGATGAAATCTTTTCTTAAAAATCAATATTGTAGCTGTAGGCGTTGACCGTTCCACGTAAATGTTATAAACTTCTTTTATCAACATATAACGGGTTACTTGGAATACGGATTTGATTTTTTGTGTATGCAGATGAAATACTGATATAACTATAAATGCTGGGTTATTTCTTGAAGTTAAACATCCTTCTCACTTGTGAACATGAAAAACAAAACTGTTGGTGGTGTAAAAACGGTTTATTGACAAAGTCATGTCTCTCCCCGCTTTGTTTTTTTACATTCCATTATGTTTGGATGACGCTTCTTCCGATATCAGCTCAAACTGAAAACAAGAGACCAAAATATTTGCAAGTGAATGTATTGATTCTCCCTGACTCACATATGAACACAAATAATGCTCATTATACCAATTATCAGTTTTATGCAAACCATGGATTACAGAGGATACTTAGTTACCATACATTACAATAAGAAGGTATACTAAAGGGAAAGGATATCTTCGATCAGAGGTTTCAATAAAAATAAACAAAACTTAACACACCGTCATCGGATTCCGCTTATGGACAGCTGCAATATGAAAACATGAAAATAAACATCAAAATTACAATTTATGGTGTTTTGACTGAGTATATATACCTTCCCCTTCAAAATCTCTGACACATCTAATTGTGAAAGATTTTAATTCCTTTTCTGTTATGTTTGGATGCCACTGTTCCAAACATATCAGTGGACTATATTTAGAGGAATTAACACTCACAATCACTGTTCAATAATTATAATGCAACATATTAAAGCTGTTTGAAATGCAATTGCTATAAGTAGAAAAGTAATATTGTCTAACTCTATGTTCTAATAATAGTTGATTACTTGGTCGTTGTTATTGTTAGTTGTGTTATCTCAACAATGCTTCGTTTACTCATCCATGTTAATATTTCATACCAGAATGTTGGATCAACCCCAATGGACGGACATGAAGATGGAGTCGACAAGGTGTAGTCTAGTGTTCTATCTAATTCAAATGATGTAATGTTGTAGATCTCAATATCTCTGAAAGAAGACGTTTTCAAATAGTTACATTAAATGTAATAGATTGTTGCAAACATACTGATGAAAGCAGAGTAATACCTATTTCAGATGGACTCTACAAATAAAACTGGATCCTGAAGTAATGGATTATGTGTCAAAAATATTTGTACACAAGTTGCAACTCCATCACATCGCCTCTCAAACCTAATCTGAAATAAAGAAGCTCAAGGAGTGAAATATCATGACAATGTATTGGCTCTAATTGTTGTCAACATTTCAGATACCAAATTTTGAAGTAAGGATGTTCGTTTTATCTAACTGTATTATCACATATCTGCTCCTATCATATGGAGATTATTTACTTACGCATAGTTCCTGTTTGCAACGTAGAGAAGGGACTCGCAGGGATTGCCTGTCATTGAATGACAGAACTTTTCTTCATTTGGCTCTCTCAGCTGCCTGTATGTTCGGTTTGAAGGGTCGTATATCCAAATGGCGCCAGCGTCATCACAAAACACTATTCTACCTGTAATAGAGAAACGAAGATTGGATGTTAACACCTTTTATCAGCGGTACATTTAGGGTGAGAGAACAGACTAATGCCCTCTTTATCTGTGGCGATGTACTTGGGAATCAGATGGTCTCACTGTTGGGATTCATGTGGATTGCTGTTGTGTTTATGCCAACGCTTGAATTATAGTGACAAACCCATTACCATAATTGGATCACATAAGATATTACAGCATAGTCAGTTGACGATTCCGACTATATTATAAGAATGTTTTTAAGAAATACTATCAAAGTGTGATGACGTCTGCGTAAAGGTGACCATATCCTGCTCCACCAGTGGCATCTGTCTCGAGGAAATGCAAAGTCAAGTCAGTTCGGGCAACTTGTATGATACTAGGGATACTCAGCTAGATATTCAGTGTGAATATGGTGGCACATGACTTTGTAGAATTATATTATATTCTGACATTATACCTACCATCATTGGTTACTAGAAACGACAGAATTGATGTTGAAAACTTCAGCACTTGCACTGGGTTACCGATAGTTGGTATTATCACGATCTTCTGACCATCACCCATGTACACAAGACTGTAACAAAAACAACATTGGATTTCAATTGGCGTGGTAGATTTCGGAAACATAATCCCTTTTTCTGCCGTTCACCATATTTAAAGCTGTTATCAGTTTAGGAATAATAAACACACAACTCGAAACGCAGAGCCGAAACGGTTTTTTCACACATTGTATGTAAATGTAAGAAACATTTATAGTAATTCCTTGTCATCTCTTTGTGACACCTGAATAGAAATCAATCTAAAACATTGTGAATAACCTATAGTATGTATAACTGACAGATGCATTTCTTTCAAGGTATAGTGACATTGTGTACACATGATAGTTAATGAGTGAGTGAGTATGGTTTTACGCCGCTTTTAGCAATACTCCAGCAATATCACGGCGGGGCACACCAGAAATGGGCTTCACACATTGTACCCATGTCATGAATCGAACCCGGGTCATCGGCGTCAGGCGATCCTCAGTGTGTGGGCTCAAGTGCATATGGCCTTCATCAACCGCCTCATCCATTCCATGTATCGACGTTGCACGACAGTCATCATGCACATGGCGGACACACGAGATACTGACTTGTGATGCCATATTCTCAGAGACTAGTGTTGTGTTTCACTTTATGAACATTTGACACTTTAATTTTAACCTTGATGATCAGTTTTGCCAAGTTTCATCTTGTAAATATGTCTCAACGTATGATTACAGTGTTTGGACAAATAATGTTTCTCATATATCTATCCATGGTGACGGTTCTTTTGCGGTTCAGTATATATAGTAAATGCATTCTGTGCCTAGGCTATCCATCCTCACTTCCTAAAGTTACAGACAACATGGACTTTCACAACAATGCCACCTTGTTCAGGAGCGTACAAACCTGCCAACAATCTGTATCTGTCCAGTAGGGCCGTCATATGAGGAGACCAAGGTAATTATTGGAGAGGAGGTCCTGTTGAAGGCATAGATGCCATTTAGGGTCTCGTTGTCGAAAGAAATGGCTACATAATCTTCTTCTGTGACAGGATTGTAGTGAGTGAGTGAGTATGGTTTTACGCCGCTTTTAGCAATATTCCAGCAATATCACGGCGGGGGACACCAGAAATGGGCTTCACACATTGTACCCATGTCGGGAATCGAACCCGGGTCTTCGGCGTGACGAGCGAACGCTTTAACCACTAGGCTACCCGACCGCCCCGACAGGATTGTAAGCAATGCCAGTTCCTCTTGCTGTCGTCGTTAGTGGAGAATCTAATATCAAAGAAATGACAAACTGTCATTGGACAACAGTTAAGCCAATCACAAGTCCGAAAGTGTCAAAGCATCCTTCCCACATCCAAATATAAAGTGGGCGTTCCCTGACAGAAAACTGCTATGTTGAAAACGGCCCACCCCAACATGATAAATGGTCGTTCCCTGACAATATAGTGTTATTTTGAAAACGGTCCAACCAAACATGATAAATGGACCTTCCCTGACAGTCTATTTTCATAATAAGAATCCATATATGTTGACAAGAGAGATTAAAAACGTAGGAACGAGGTTGTCATAAACATACCAGTATCACTGCCTAATATAACTTCCGTTCCATCAGGCGTGGAGAGACATCGAACGACAAACGGGTCGTTTCTAAAGTAGTCAAACCCATAGGTATCACCGTTGGTATATACAGGCCATCTGGTTACATTAGTGTCTGTTGTGAAGCCGTTTTGGATGAAACAATTTGGATCTACCACAGCAACATCAGTTCCATCACACGTAGCCACGAAGACCGCACCAGTACCTTCAAGTAAATAGCAGCAAAAATAGGTTTTAGTCTTTATTTTGCATGTCATTATGAAAATTGTAAAAGAGTCACAGGTAAAGATTGTGAGGAGTTAAACAAGTTAACAAGTGACAAATTGTCTCGATAATCTGCTGAAACAGATTCCACTGGGAGAAAAAGGAAATAGTCGTGATGAAAATTATATGAGTCGGTTGAATATAATTCCTGTATAACATTTTACTTCATCCTAAAAAGACCTACGGTCCGGGCAGTCTTGTGGGACGCTGGATGTGACATTTGCGACATCAGCAATCAGCTCTTGCAAAGCAGTTCTGAAGTCGGAAACTTGTGTTTCGAAGCAGTCTGCGGAGCCAGCATCTGGAAAGACGAAATCAAGTTATTCTTGTTCTAACTTAATGCAGAGAGTTTTTCTAGTACTGGAAAGAGAAGGTTCCATTCAAAGAAATTGTATTTAAATAAATTTTATATGCATCACTTTTACAATCAAAAGAGCTAAATTGCCGATTCTCAAGTAGTTTTTGGTTTATACCACAAATGATACTTGCTTAAATATTCAATGGCTTGCTCGTCATGCTTTATCCAACATAACTGATAACTGGTAGACCCAGATGTGTTGAGGATGTGCACAGTTGTCGTAGGTCATTGGTGACCATATCCGTATACTGTTAACTGCATTCACTCAAGAACTCCCAGGCATATTTTCTAAATGAACGCCCTTTTTCATCCTGTTTGTTCCTCACATAAATCTCCACTAAGTAGTGTGAAATATTCAATACTTACACCTTGCAACTATTTGAACCACTGATAATAATTCTTTGGTGTCTCAAAAGAGGTCCAGAGATCAGTGCTGAGATTCACAGAAACACAAAAATATAGTTCTGTTTTTTTCCAACCACAGAAGTTTTTCTTTCATGACAGGTCTTTTCAAAGATGCTACATGTGCTAACAAAAATGATTATTTCCTGAAATGCATTGTACTTAAAAAAAACAACTGTTCAGCATCACCTTTCAGAAAAAACACCAAACCCAGAGCCAGAATAGTATAGTCTGTCTTAAAGAAACTCACGGTCACACGTTTGGTAATAACACTTTAAACTTTACAGAGTTTACGATTTAAAACAAAACATGTGTGTGAATATCGTCAAGACTGAACACATGCTCATTGATAGTTTGAGACAGGACATCATCAGTGCATGGTGGCTCGTTTGTATTTTAAAATGTTCTCTATATATAAATTATCCACAAATAGCGGAAATATAGCTGATGAGTCGCTGAGCAAAAATCACTCACTCACTCACTCTTTCTAAAAAGCGCAGCCAAATATCCCCTTGTGTACCGTAGCTATGTGTATCATACCTTACTTTCCTGAGTTATGTTTATCTGGATTAAAGTTTCTCAATCAAGATCTAATTGTGCAACACTTGGGTCATGACCATATGGAGTTATTACTTATAGATTTAGTAGATTTAATTAACTTGCTTGGGTGTAACATGTTTGTTTGTTTGTTGTTTAACGCCGCACTCAGCATGTAGTTGCGGATACCACAGTCATCGGTATGAATGAAAAAAAGCAAATCACAGATAGGGATTCGCATCATCGTCAGAGTAATGTATCTTAACACACGTGAACGATTATGAAACAAAGGTCTCTACTGTCATAAATTAATTCAACCCATTCTGCCAAGCCGATTAAACACACAAAGCACCACTGCGTCTTAGTATATGTACATTTACTTCGCCAAACTGTACTGACCTGTTTCGGATACATGTGTATTTACTACAGGTCAAATTGTTCGCTCTTTAATATTATGAACATGACCTAACTGAAGGGCATCACTGGGTGGGGCACATTTGACTGTAAGCAGTTTGCCACACCCTCCAACAAATATAACGTTTAGTGATAATCATAGAAGTAACACATAGTATGTTGTATCACTTACCAAAGCATGGACACTGCTCGTCGATGATGCTGAAGACGCAATCAAGCCCGGAGTTAAGGGCACTGAGTGTCGTACTTAAGTTCTGAAGCTTCTCGTTCAGGAGACCTGCTTGTGGACACACTGGTGGTTCTGGAACTGGAGGTGGCTGTGGCGGTGGCTGTTGCGGTAGCGGTGGTTGAAATATGCATGCTGCCATAGGGAACAATTCTAAGGCTGGGGCCGCCAGGAGGAGATAAAGAAAGCAATTGGAGAACATCATCTAGGTTCCTCAAACAGCTACTGACAAGGATCAACCAGAGACCTTATTTATACAGTTTGTACTGCTACCGTGTATCGCTGTAACGGCCTGATTGGAGCAACGTAGAGTCAAATGACTGTACAGTGTCACATGGCTGGGTCCATGGCTGTGTCCATTGATTTTATCGAACATGATCTGCTTTTTACATTTTTCGTAACTGTCGCCCAGGAACGTTGGGCCTCATAATATCCTAGTGATTAATGTTGTGTAATTTACTGTATAAAGGAGACCACAGAAATATGTATGTTTTTAACAGCGAATGACCATCATTGTAACGTTTGGCTTTGTTGTTTCGATATATAACTCATCGAGGCATTGCTGTTGACACGAATTAACACTGTGGTCTATTTGAAAAAAATCATGAGTGAGTGAGTGAGTGAGTTGTGTTTAACGCCGCTTTTAACAATATTCAAGTTATATCGCGGCGTGTCAGCTTAATGTGGGAGGAAAGCCCGAAGTGATGCAGGTCACAGACGTTTACCACTTCGGTGAAACCCACGAGCACGGGTATGGTGCTGACAAACCTAGAAACATAATCGGGGTGAACCGGGATTCGAACCCACAATCATAGGTTTCTGGCGTGCCCAAGGGAAGCAACTCTGCACAGCGAATCGCTGCGCCTTAGACGACTTGGCCACCCGTGCCCCCCAAAAATCATGATGTTTAAGGGCGAACAGACATGTTTTGGTAAAGTCTATATAGAGTGCATGATATGTGCTTGATACATATACACCATCTATTCAAAGTGGACGTGCAAAATACTGTCTCAATTGTAACGCATAAACGCGGGTTCAATAAGTTTTTGCAACTTCAATATAAGACCAAGTCGCAGAATATTTTTTGCATTTGCATTTTCAATACAATCTCCATTCACCTCAATACACGTATTCCATTAAATTTGTCCTTCAAGCTTTTAATACCACTTTTATAGCAATCCACAGATTGGCCCTCTAACCACGCCTCTGTGGCAGCCTTTATGTCCTCGTCATCCTGGAAGCGTCTTCCGCGTAGGGCAGATTTCATTTGCCGGAACAGGAAATAGTCACTGGGGGCTAAGTCCGGGCTGTACAGTTAAATCACCCACCCTTCAGCCTGTGTGTTCATGCCGTTCATACGAACAAATTAGCCACTCACTCACTCACTCACTCACTCTCCACTCACTCACTCACTCACTCACTCACTCACTCTCCACTCACTCACTCACTCACTCACTCACTCACTCACTCACTCACTCACTCACTCACTCACTCACTCACTCATTTTTAAATACTGTTTGACTTTCCCAAACTGCCTTGCCTGTGATCAACAAATGTTGAGCATTGCTGATGAAGTGATACGTTTCCTTTGTTTCATCAAAGCTTCTCGTGATGGAATTTCTCTCTTTATGGCGGTGTCAGGTTTGGAGCCGGATGTCAACAGTCCACCTTTCAACATTAGGGACATTTTGTATTGAAACGTGGACTTTCCAACCTTTTTTTCCTGTCCTAGTTACCAATGAGCTTTGGTAGAAAAAATGATTGTCTATGAAATGTAAGAATTTTCTCATTTTCTCTCGAAACTTTATTATTTGTTCCAAGAGATTGGGAAAACTATTGCATAACATTATTTCCTTACTGGGTGTGGGGTTTTCATTGTGGGATGGGTGGATTTATCACTGATACTGCTCTTGTCATGTATCCTCATCCCTCAACCACATGCCACACGCACAGCTGATGTCTTGCCATCACAGTATTGAATTATGAACTTCATAAGATGTGGGTCGATATTATAACACTTTTGATGAACTGTCACCTGGCGGCTTGTTGGTCTACTCTCCATACCGCCTATCTGCACATTCATGTGTTTCGGCCTATATAATCTGAACTAGCAACGTCAAATGCGGGGCAAAGGTTTTATATACTTATGTTTTAATGTGGCTAAAATTGAAACAAAGAAGAAATAATTATTATGGTGATGCATAATTCTAGGGATTATAATGAAGAAGTGTGCAGCCATATTTTATTCAGTGACAAGTCAAAGGGTCAAAACCCGCAACCCAGCAAACACACAATGTGTATACAACGTTCTCCGGGGGCTTCAATGAGCAAAGTTTCATGAAACATTGTCAAAACGTTTTTAAAACGGTTACGGTATGAAAACGTTAGCTCGAAACCAAAGAAACACGCCTTCATCCCAACGTTGTAGAAACGTTATTGAAACTTTTTGAAATATTCTTTTCATAAAAAACACACGTCTCTTTTCACTGTAAGAATGCATATGAACTTGACACTAACAATTGTGCAATTACGTCTGTACACAAATAATAGTAATACATTAGAAATTGTAAGCCGCATCCTCAAGCACTTGTGCATATTTTCTCAAGTTTTATTAATTACTATCACTGATTTTGTTTACTGTAGAGAAATGTAATTCTATTCTACTATTGTTTAAGTTTATCCTACTTTGCTTGGTCATTTCAGCTGACTGTGATATCGGTGTCAGCTCTCAGGAATACCAAGTGCAAGATGGTATTTTTATCGGGGTGTGAACCCAGTGTATTCAGAGTAAACCTATATGTTTGAAACAATATTACCTCTTTGCAAAGTACATGAGTATATATTCCAAATAACACAACTTCTTTCTCGTAAATATAATTTGTGATATGCAATGTACGTGGCCATTACTCTTACAAGTTTGAATTTATCTGTGGTGTTAGAATAAAGTTATTTGAGCAGAAGATAATGAAATTATAATCGTCATTAAACTACCTTAGCCGTAATCTTTACTGTCCACAAGATCAAAATGTATTATACAAACATAATAAGAACAGCGTGTTTGGAAATCTGAGTTCCGCAAGGTGGTATATTACTTATCACACTTTTACATCCAAAATGGTTCAAACTGTGTTTTCAATATAGAGCTGGGTTACCTGCAGATTTAACCACGCTAAATTGAATTTGGAACCGAACACGCAGCGTTAAATCAACGGGTAGCCTATCTCCACATGCGAAAATGCTTTTCACTATTTTCTTGAATGTAAAATATATTCTTTAATAAGAGAATCTTTGTTTATCAACATTAGGAATATAGAGAATTTAGAAACAATTCTTTGTGGTAACAAAAATCTATCTGAAGAGCAAAATAACTTAATTTTTAAATGTGTCCATAAATTTATGTAGAAACAAACAGATTTTAAATTGTATCCTAATACAACAAGAATTATAACAAGATTTATATTTCACGAGCTACATTCAAATTATCTGGATTTTACAAGTGACTGGTACATATAAATTATGGTTTTTTCAACACTCTGAATTTGATGTAAAACAATAGCATTCCCCGTAACTATCACAGCTTAGTTACATTCTAGATTTCCCGTCCTTCACATAAATTTAAAATGTCTATTACATGTAGTTTATTAACTACTGTTTTATTTTATAAATATATCATGTACCATTGTATACCAAAAATGTAAATTCATCATATGTATATATGTAGATGTATTTTTGAGTGTATGTAGGTATATGTGTTTGTGTATAATACTGTATATATATGAATATGTGTGTGTTATTATATTTTCTCATTACTTGTAATTCCTATGCACTGTACATTTATTCTGCACCATAGAATTCACATACCACAATGTAATGAAATGTTTATAGGAGAAGGCCTCGTAAGTGTGTCACTTCTGCCTACTCCATTAGGTTTTCCGCAATAAAATATGTTTAAATAAAAAAAACCCACTGAAAACACAGACTGAGTATGTTTATCTCCGTTCTACCATGATTAAAATATCGCGAACTCTTTGGTGCTATCAAATATATTGAATAAAGTGGAATGGGTTTTGTCCAGTAGATTAATTTATGCAGTAGAGTAGATATCAGATGAAATTATACTGGAGTGGAGAAGCCTGTTATGTACACACAAGGGTAGTAATGACAATCATCAGTGAAGTCAGTGACATAAAGAAAGGGTTAAGCCAGTAATATAAACAACAGGATTATGGCTGATTGGGGTCTTTGATGAGTTGATGTAGTTATACTGGAGTGGAGAAGCCTGTTATGCACATCTGATATCTACTCTACTGTATGTATGTATGCCTCCCACCTGAATATATACTTGTCAACCATACTTTTTATAGCACTTGCTTGATAACGGTGTTAGAACCTGCGCCGAAACGTCGCTCTTAATTGTAAAAAAGAAGTTGTTCATCCATAAATTCTTATCAATACTTAGTAGATGTACTTCATTTAAACTTAAATGAATTTATACTGAACCGCAAAAGAAACGTCACCGTGGATAGATATACGAGAAACCGTATTTGTCCAAACACTGTACACATATTTTGAGACATATTAAAAAGATGAAACACGGCAAAACTGATCATCAAGGTTGAAATTAAAGTGTCAAATGTTCATAAAGTGAAACACAACACTAGTCTCTGAGAATATGGCATCACAAGTCAGTATCTCGTGTGTCTGCCATGTGCATTGATGACTACTGTGCAACGTCGATACATGGAATGAATGAGACGGTTGATGAAGGCCATATGCACTTGAGCCGACACTCTGAGGAACGCCTGACGCAGTTCAGCTGCAGTTGTCGGCCTTGGTCGGACGTCATTCAGCCGTCTTTGAATCTCGTCCCACAGGTGCCCAATGGGATTTAAATCGGGACTGAGGGCAGGCCACTGCATGGTTCTGATGCCATTTTGCTGGAGGAAGTCTCTTGTTGCTCTCGCAGTGTGGGCACGAACGTTATCATGCTGCAACTCGTGATTGCAGCAACGTGCTAAATGAGGTATGGCGTGTGGTATCAAGACTTGATCAATGTACCGAGCTGCTGTGACACCATTGCCTCTTCCTTGACTGATGTTCTGGAAGACCACAGGGCCGACCCTCTGTGCAAGACCAATTTTACCCCACACAAGTCTCTCTCAACAACACAGTCATCCGAATAATGTTCCACGCGGCGTCGCCAGACTC